ACCGGAATATCTGGCTAATCCAAATGAATTCAAGTATCCAGTGTCAACTCCATCCAAGGATATTAAAAGAATTGGCAGAACTAATTTCAGAAACATCGGCAATCACCTTTGATAATTCCTGGAGAACAGAAGTTCTAGCAGATCAGAGGAAAGCAAATCCACATCTTCACATGGGAAAAAGAGAACCCAAACAACGACTACCCAGTCAATCTCAAGAAGAATATTGACACATTGGAATATCCAGAGAAAGGCAACCAAAATGATGCCTTAGGGAACTGGATATGTTTAGCTTGGAAAAAGGAAGATTGAAAGGGAACCTCATACCCATTTATAAATATTTGAAAGGGTGTTTCATTGAGGAGAGCACAAAATTGCTTTCTGCTGCTCTAGAGATTAGGACATGGAACAATGCAGTCAAATTGAGATATCACCTAAGCATTAGGAAGAACCTCCTGATGGTAAGAACCGTTCAACAATAGAGTATAAGGTTTTGGGAACAGGGAGGAGGAGACAATAGCTGGTAGAGGAGAGGAGTATGGTGCAAAGATATGGAAGGGATGGACTACCATCTGGTGAGATGCACCCATCTCATTTCCCTTTTCTTTAATTGCTCAAGCATCTGCACCTTGAATTTGATCCCATCCCTAATGTTGATACTACAGGGAGAAAATAGTCCCAACCTTAGTTCTACATTTGAAACATGTACCTGCTTAGTCCTCACGATAATGGAGGGATAATTAAGAGTTACCAGCAAAACGTATACTTCATCTCTCATTCTATAAGGTGTTCAAAGTATTTCTTGAACTAAAATTAATAATAGGTGCAAAAATATTTGATACTAGCCGTCCCCTGCCACGCGTTGCTGTGGCCCACATGGGGGTTCTGTGTGGAAGGTTTGGCCCAATTCTGTCATTGGTGGGGTTCAGAATGCTCTGTGATTGTAGGTGAACTATAAATCCCAACAACTACAACTCCCAAATGTCAAGATTCTATTTTCTCCAAACTCCACAAGTGTTCACTTTTGGGCATATTGAGTATTCGTGTAGAGTTTGGTCCAGATCCATCATTGTTTGAGTCCACAGTGATCTCTGGATGTAGGTGAACTACAACTCCAAAACGAAAGGACATTGCCCACTAACCCTTCCAGTATTTTCTGTTGGTTATGGGAGTTCTGTGTGGCAAGTTTGGTTCAATTCCATTGCTGGTGGGGTTCAGAATGCTCTTTGATTGTAGGTGAACTATAAATCCCAGCAACTACAACTCCCAAATGACAAAATCAATTTTTTTTGAGTGAAGGACATACATTGGGTTGTTAGGTGTCTTGTGTCCAAATTTGGTGTCAATTCGTCCAGTGGTTTTTGAGTTCTGTTAATCCCACAAACGAACATTACATTTTTATTTATATAGATTTTTCTTTTTTTCTTTTTTCTTTTGGAAAAGGGAGTTGTAAATGTAAACCTATTACTCCATTTTAAACAGGAACAGAGGAATACACCAGTGGCCACATGTACAGAATGCTGACTGATGCTGTTGTAGTTCCTGTCTACAGATGCATTTACTTCTCTAGTTCTTTTAGACTGGGGAAAGTGGGCTATATATAAATAATATCATTGTCTTCGTCATCAAAATCATCATCAAATCAGTTACTATATCAATTTCTACTGTATTTGTCAGCTTCAATGTTTATTCCTTTTTCTTAGGCTATATTAAATTCTTCTCTCTTATTCACCTTTTCTTTTTCCACATCTCATTTCCAGCGATACAATCTGTATATTTAATAATAATAATAATAATAATAATAATAATAATAATAATAATAATTGTTGTTGTTGTTGTTGTTGTCTGTCTCTTTTCATGGCTCGAGGTGGGGTACGAGATAATTAAATCAGACAGATAAAACAACACTATTAAAATGCATATTTACAGCGAAGACAGACTCCACCACTATATTTAAATCCCTTACATTAAAATGTCACTGCAGTTATTTCCCAGAAATCCCTAATATCCCTTTCCATATTTTAAACAATAATTTCTTAATCTCTTCTATAGCACATTGTATGATATATTCACTAATTATACTCCCAAGTTTCCTGCAGGCTCGGGGAGATAATCCTTGTGCTGGTTCTTGTTGCTCCCATGTATCTTTGAGGAAAGGCTTAAAAAATTCTGTCAATCAAACATTACCACCATGAGCAGGAAATTTAGACCCAATGTCTATCCTGATTTGCTTTGAACAGGACAAGGCATTAGTTGTTCTAGCAGTTTAGAATCCAAGATGAAAAAAAATCAAAGTGTGCTGACCAATTGCTCCTCTTCATTCAGGAGAAAGGTAACTAGTGGGGTGCCATAGGGTTTTGACCTATACTGAGTACTATTTGACATCTTTATTGATGACTTTGACTATGGAAAAGAGGTCATGCTTATCAGTAATGAATAAAAGAATGTTGTTGTTGTTGTTATATTAACATTTATCAGATTGTTTCCCAAATACTTAGTGTAGCACATAAACATAAGTGGATGATATGATGGCAGGCATCCTCAGAGGTTTTGAGGTCACATCTCACAACCTCTGTGCCTGCCATAGATGTGGGAGAAACGTCAGGAGAGAATGCTTCTGGAACATGGCCATAGAGCCCAGAAAACTTATAACAACCCAGTGATTCTGGCCATGAAAGCCTTCAAAAATACACAAAACTAGTTCTCTGCACAAGAAGATCCCACATATGCAGAATGTTCATCACTTCAAGAGAGTCTGCTTGCTGTCCCCACTCCTTTTACAAGCATCATGCTCGTCCTGCCTGTATTTCCACTGTTCTTCTCCACCTCCATCTGACCTCTCTCTTTCCCTGTCTTCCTCCCTCCCCCTCTCTTCTCTTTCTCTCTCTCCCTTTCTCTCTCTCTCTCACTCTCTCTCTTTATATATATGCTCCAGAGCCCTAGCCTCATTTCACACTGCCTACATGTATGTAGGTGGAGAAGTAAGGACAAGCTGTAAAGATCCTATAAAAATCTTCCATGTGTCCATGTTGCACCTGCTGTGGACTATGCCCAGTCTAAAATAGCTTTTGGCTGAAGATGGTGATTCATTTACTGCCCTTATATATACATAAACGGCCAAAATTATCTCTCATACACTTTGGCAACTGGAATGTTGGATAGGATACTTGCACCCCAGATGGCGCAGTGGGTTAAACCCCTGTGCTGGCAGGACTGAAGACCGACAGGTCGCAGGTTCGAATCCGGGGAGAGGCGGATGAGCTCCCTCTATCAGCTCCAGCTCCTCATGCAGGACATGAGAGAAGCCTCCCACAAGGATGATAAAACATCAAAATCATCCAGGCGTCCCCTGGGCAACGTCCTTGCAGACAGCCAATTCTCTCACACCAGGAGCGACTTGCAGTCACTCCTGACACGACAAAAAAAAAACAACCAGATGATCAGTGGAGCCCTGCCAGATGTGAGTGTGCATCTCCCCATGTGATGAAGTCCTTAATGCTGCTGTGGAATGTGTATTTGACTATGAATAACTCACTCCCTAAGAGCCGCCGCAAACTAGGCTCCTGTGGGAGCAAACCTTGCGAGCACGTCCTTGACGTCATGAGACTGCGCCTCTCTCTCCACCCCTTTCTCCGCCCCTTTCTCTGTGCTAGAGAAGAAAACCACTGGTTTTTCCTTTGCTAGGGCAGCATTGCCAGCGTTCTCTCTCAGTTGAATTCTGCCAACTGAGAGAGTACGCTGGCAATGCTGCCCTAGCAAAGGAAAAACCACGCTGGCACGGAGAAAGGGGCGGGGTGAGAGGCGGAGTCTCATGACGTCAGGGACGTGCTGGCAAGGTTTGCTCCCGCAGGAGCCTAGTTTGCGACGGGTCTAAGGACATCAGGCATGCCTCCTAAAGACCCTGGCAGTCTTTAGGAGGAGCTTGAAAACGTGGTTGTTCCAGTGTGCCTTCCCAGAATAATGAACCCTTAGCATTATGTCCTCCAAAAGCACTTTATACCGATTTAGGACTGCTTGTATGTCTCCATCAACACCCCACCTCCTTTATCTTGTTCATGCCTAGCATTATTTTTTAAAACTTCAATTACATTTGGCCCAGCCATAGTTTGAAATGTGCACTGTATTTGTTTAATGTTTTATGCTATTCGTGTATGTGTTTTATTTTTAATTGCTTTGTATTGTATCTGTTTATTGCTTGTATTGCTTGTATTGTTTTTATTGTGAGCTTGGTCTCATGTAAGCCGCACCGAGTCCCTTGGGGAGATGGTAGCGGGGTATTTATTATTATTATTATTATTATTATTATTATTATTATTATTATTATTGCTTCTTACAGTCATGCTTGATTTTAATTATAGTAATGGTATATTATGGAGCCCCCGGTGGCGCAGTGGGTTAAAGCACTGAGCTGCTGAGCTTGTTGATCGAAAGGTCGCAGGTTCGATTCCGGGGAGCGGCGTGATCTTCCGCTGTCAGCCCTAGCTTCTGCCAACCTAGCAGTTCGAAAACATGCAAATGTGAGTAGATCAATAGGTACCGCTCTGGCAGGAAGGTAACGGCGCTCCATGCAGTCATGCCGGCCACATGACCTTGGAGGTGTCTACGGACAACGCTGGCTCTTCGGCTTAGAAATGGAGATGAGCACCACACCCCAGAGTCAGACATGACTGGACTTAATGTCAGGGGACAACCTTTACCTAATGGTATATTTCTGAGCAAGAATCTTGTACAATTGTTACTACACTATAAAAAAAATTGTTAGCAATTCATGTAAATGTTCAGTTTTCCACCCCAAGATTTGTACATAAGGCAATGTGTACATAAATACAATGAAAAATACAATTATGGTGTTAAAGAAAGTTCTAAAGAATCATCTTAAATATATGAATCTATTATTTGTTCCACAAATTGATTTAGCGTAGTTGTGGAACTGGAAGTAGTACATAAACCAAAACATAATGCACATTATTTGCCCTACCCTTCTGTTTTTCTGTTTGTTGTAGGTGTCATCCCTAAACAGAAAAGAGATGTGCAAGTAAGTGGAGAAAACGTTTATGAGGAAAGCTCTAAAAACAAGGGTAGTGACTTCAATCCTGGTGGAGTTAGGAAGAAATTTTTCAGAAATGTAAACCACATAATAGATGTGGATGATGTTGGGAGAGAAGATGGCCTGGGACGGACTTGTAATGAATCCAAAGACAATCTCGGCTTTGAAGGATGCATCGCAGAGCTGAAATCTTCCCAGGGGAGATTGCGGACAGGAGTTTGCAGGACAGCGGATCTTCCGTCTCTCACTGGTGTTAAGAGTGAGAAGAAAAAGGATGATGACAACCAATGTAAAGCAACGTTTGTTTGAAGTTCCTCTGTGGCTGATTCCAGCAGTTTTCTTTTCCTCTGATATGTAATAAACACTGGAGCGCTTGCCACATCCATTCCTTCAAGCAGCTTCAGTCCAAGGCTGGATGGAGGCCTCAGCATTTGGCTTATTTGAAATTATTGAAGGGAAAATTACAAAATGTATCTGACATGATTTGCACGTCTCACATTTTTATAGTTGGTGACCTAACTATAAACTCTCTCTGGCCACAACAGCAAAACAATTGTAGTTGTTTCCTCCATAGCAGACTTCTATCAAGAAACCAAGTGTCATTGTGGGGGCCAATACAACGCGTAACACAAAACCCTACTACGAGTAGTCAAACCATAATCTAGTTGCAATGGCCAAATCTCTACTGTAGTTTTGAAATTGCACTCACATTTCAGACATTACCATGTGGCCTGTCCTGAAGACCTTTCTGTCGTGCCTCAATCATTGCTACTCTGATTTGCAGTTTCTTGTTAACATCCTGAATTTTTGTTTACTATAACATACACCTTCAAGAAGAATCATACAAAGCTATTTTGTAACCGTTTCGTGGAGCCTAATAAAAGTATTATCCAATTGATGTTTTTAATGTTTACTGTAATTGATTATAACTACCCAAATTTACATGTTATCTGATTATCTTTGGGGGGGGGGGGGAATATTTATTTATTTATTTATTTATTTATTTATTTATTTATTTATTTATTTACAGTGTTTATATTCCGCCCTTCTCACCCCGTAGGGGAATCAGGGCGGATTACAGTGTACACATATATGGCAAACATTCAATGCCAATTTTGACATACGACGTATACAGACATACACAGAGGCTATTTAACTTTTTCTGGCCGCCAGGGGAGCTGTCGCTTTCATCATCCATCTGCGACACTAATGAAGTACTTCCGCATGCTTTTTTGCTGGAGTGATTTTGCTGGAGTCTTTTTTATGGCCTCATAAATTAGTTAATTTAGCCTCCCCACACAAGGTGGTACCTAATTTTCCTACTTGACAGATGCAACTGTCTTTCGGGATGCAAAGGTCGACAACAGGCTACACAATTGGTTGGAAACCCACTCCAAACCGGGCTGGCTTCGAGAGTGAACTTAATGCAGCTGACACTCAGCCAGCTGCGCCACAATCCTGGTGCTAAATAGCTAAATCCCAGTGCTAAATAGCCTAAAGTCACAGGACCTCTTTTTCATCCTAGTTTTCCATGGACACAATTTTGCACATTAAAACAATTTCTTAATCATTTACTTCCCTAGTCAGTGTTTTACTTCAGCCAGGCTATAAACCAGTGGTTCTTAACCCGCGGGCTGCGGTCCACCAGTGGGCCGCGAGGACAAAAAATCTAGTCCATGAGCCTCCTTCCTCTTTATTTTATTTTATTTTATTTATTTCCACTCCTTTTGCACCGCCTGCCAGTCTTTCCCTGTTGCTGACCATGGCCTATGTTCTGTATCAGAAACTAGAGCTGGTGTGGTCTATCCAATGCAATTTTCTGAATCAGAACCCCAAACAGAATATAAAGTTGGCCAAAAACTGATTCGTAATCCTTTCGGTACTAATGTTGGAGAGTGGTCCCTGGTCAAAATAAGGTTGGGAACCACTGCTATAAACAGATCTTTCATTGTTTTGAAAAGAAGTTTTGTGTCCATTCCTTGTACTTTCCTTTGTTTGCCCTCTTTAAATATGTAGCTACTTGATTTATTTCAGACAATAACCAGTATGTCCATGTTGGCCCATCAGCAGCATCTTCTTAGTGTCATCCACAGATTTAAATGTGGCTTGCATGTGTACAGGCAGTTCCCAAGTTACAAACAAGATAGGTGTGTTCTTAAGTTGAATTTGTTTGTAGGTCAGAAAAGGCACATTTTATTCAATGGAAAGCATTGGGAAGTGTTAACACACCTGCGATATTTGTTTTGCTGTCTGTGTCCCTGTTAAGAAGATTTCATCCCATTTTCTGTCCCTGCAAGAATTGGATTTTGAGAAATTTGGAAACAAGCATTGGAGATAAAGCTTCAATGAAGTCACCTTTTCCCATGATAATTCTTCCAAGAGTGAATTTCCTTCCGAAGGGTAGATTTCTCTCACTTGCTGTTGTGCATCTCCATTTGTAACTAGGAGCCATTTGTAAGTCGGATGTTTGTAACTCAGGGGCTGCCAGTATTTCTGTTTCAATAGGGTGCGCAAGGTACACTTTACCTCTTTGCACTGTCCAAAATCTCTCTCCCAGAAAATGTCATGCCCCAGGAGGGGCTGCTTCCTCTGGTTATTGAAATTGATGGAGGGGGTGGCTGTCTAGATGATGAACATGTCGCTACTCTTGGCTCCAAGTGGAAGGAAAGGAGGTATGATCTGTTTATGCACCCTGGTTTCTTCTCTTCCCCATTTCTGAACACACACACACACACCAATACATGGCAACAGCAGGGATCCTTCTTACGTGTTGACAGCATTATGTTCCTTCTGCAGCTGACTATGGAACTCAGCTATTGAGAAACACCTAGACCTTTTCCAAGATATATTTTCACTCTATAAATACCACCAGCAGGATTATGTCACTCATGCCTTTCCTAGGATAAAATATGGTGTGTTCTTCTTCCAGCCCCTGCTATTAAGATTTCAGGGCCTAAACCAGTGATGGGCAACCTTTTGAGTTTGGTGTGTCAAAATTTGCCAAAAACCTGAGCATAACTTGGGTGGGGTGTCAACTTGAAAAAAAAACCCCATAATTTTGCAATATTTATAGTTTAAATAAGAAAAATGTATATTCCATGCTGAGTTATGAACAATGCTCAAACATGCAGGTCTTAAATTTGTAGAGCCTTTTACAAATTTAAGGATGGAATTAGATTGGCTCTTATAAGGTGTACTTCTCTGTATGTGGCCGCGTGTCATCAAAAATAGCCATGCATGTCAGTGCTGGCATGCATGTCATAGGTTCACCATCACGGGCCTAAACCTAAGACCACCAGGAAGTCCCTTGGGACGTCACTTGTGGGACTGAAGAATTATGAAAGGCAAGGGGTGAGAGGAGAACCACATCTCCATGGAATAAGGCAATTGGGGAATTGGCAAATGATCAATGGATCCCTTGATGAAAGCCCTATTCAGAATTGCTGCGGTGCAATGGAAGCATCATCCTAGACAAGTGGCTGTGTAGATTGGTGAGCTCAGTTCAGAAAAGAATGGTCCATTTTCCTTATCAGTTATTAAAGTAAAATACCCAGTTAAGAGGTAGATGATGATGATGATGATGATGATGATGTGACATACTGTGGTTTTGTGTGTGTCAGTAAAGTAATAATGGTAATAATAATAATAATAATAATAATAATAATAATAATAATAATAATGTGGTGATCGGCACACTGGGTGCAGTGCCTAAGACCTTGGCCTGAACTTAAACACAAAATTACCAGCTGCCAGCTGCAAAAGGCCACCTTACTGAGATCTGCACATATTATTCATCAATACATGACACAGTCCTAGACACTTGGGAAGTGTCCGACGTGTGATCCAATACAACAGCCAGCAGAGTGATCTTGTCTGCTGTGGACTCATCTTGTTGTGTTTCAAATTATCTATCTATCTATCTATCTATCTATCTATCTATCTATCTATCTATCTATCTATCTATCTCTATCTATCATGTCAGGAGTGAACCAAACAGTTGTATTGTATTTAAAAAAAACACAGAGAGAGAGTTTGAAAACTTGGCATTCTATTAAATGTCCTTTGACCAGTATCTGGCCACTTGGAGTGCCTCTGGTGTTGCTATAAGAAGGTGCTCCACTGTGCATGTGGCAGGGCTCAGGTTGCATTGTAGTAGATGGTCTGTGGTTTGCTTTTTTCCACACTCGCATGTCATGGATTCTACTTTGTAGCCCCATTTCTTCAGGTTGGCTCTGCATCTCATGGTGCCAGAGTGCAGTCTGTTCATTGCCTTCCAAGTCGCCCAATTTTCTGTGTGCCCAGGAGAAACTCTCTCATTTGGTATCAGCCATTGATTGAGGTTCTGGGTTTTAGCCTGTCACTTTTGGACTCTCACTTACTGAGGTGTTCCAGCGAGTGTCTCTGTAGATCATAGAAAACAATTTCTTGATTTAAGTCGTTGACGTGCTGGCTGACACCCAAACAGGGGGTGAGTCAGAGATGTCACTACCTTGGTCCTTTCACTATTGGTTTTTACTTCCTGGTGGATGTCAGGTGGTGCAATACCAGCTAAACAGTGTAATTTCCCCAGTGGTGTGGGGTACAGACACCTTGTGATAATGCAGCATGTCTCATTGATTCCACAGCTGATCTCAGGGGACATGAGAGAAGCTTCCTGCAGGATTACAAGACATCTGGGCGTCCCCTGGGCAATGTCTTCGTAGATGGCTGATTCTCTCACTCCAGAAGCGACCAGAAATGACTTGCAGCATACAACCAAACAAGCAAATTATTATTATTATTATTATTATTATTATTATTATTATTATTATTATTTGAAACACAGCAAGATGAGTCCACAGCAGACACTCTGCTGGCTGTTGTATTGTATCACACATCGGACACTTCCCAAGTGTGTGATGTATCGGCGAATAATGCATGCAGATCCCAGTAAGGTGGCCTTCTGCAGCTGGCAGATGATAATCCTGTCAGCACCAATTGTGTTTAAGTGCAGGCCAAGGTTTTTAGGCACTGCACCCAATGTGCCGATCACCACTGGGACCACCTTGACTGGCTTGTGCCACAGTCTTTGCAGTTCGATATTTAAATCCTCATATTGTGTCAGCTTTTCTAGTTGTTTCTCTTCAATCCTGCTGTCACCTGGGATTGCAACATCAACAATCCATACTTTGTTTTTTAACATGATCGTGAGGTCAGAAGTATTGTGCTCCAAAACTCTGTCTGTTTGAATCCCGAAGTCCCAGAGTAGCTTGACGTGTTCATTTTCTGTAACTTTTTCCGGCTTATGATCCCACCAGTTCTTTGTCGCAGGCAGAGGGTATTTGTGGCACAAATTCCAATGAATCATCTAAGCAACGGTGTTATGCCTCTTTATTATTATTTAAAAAAAATTCTTACCTGCCTCTCCTTGTGGCTTGAGGCGGGTTACAACATAACTAAAACACACATGATCATTATATAAAATATACATATTAAACCATTTCTACAAAATACATATCATTAAAATACAAAGAACAGTGGTTCAAATATAGTGGACATGAGACATAAAGATTCTTTACCGAGAAAGCAAGCATTGTACTGGTTTCAGCAATGGACTCTGACTCGAGTTCAAATTCATGCTCAGCCTGTGGGCAAGTCACACTCTCTCAGCCTCAGAGGAATGCTTAGACATAGGAACCCCATGATGGGTTAGCCATAGGATCACCAAAGTGGGTATGTGAAATTGGCATAAAGTTATGGTTTTTGTTGTATTTGTCATCTTCTAAACCTTTGTTGTTGCTGTGTGCCTTGAAATCATATAGCAACAACAATTTTTAAAAAGCCTAGCTTTGTACCAGTTCCACACACACCATGTACAGTAACCTTGCTGTTTCAAACCAATTAGTTCCACATTCCCAGTAAACTCTTCCCTTGCCCCAAGCATTGTGGTCTTAGACAGCATTTGCTTCTTAACAGTTTTTAATTTGGGTTGTGTGTGTGAGGGAGAGAGGGAGAAAGGGAGAGAGAGAGTGAATTCTCACACCTCTGTGACTCATTTTGTTGTTGTTCATTCGTTCAGTCGTCTCCGACTCTTCGTGACCTCATGGACCAGCCTATGCCAGAGCTCCCTGTCGGCCGTTACCACCCCCAGCTCCCTCAAGGTCAGTCCAGTCACTTCAAGGATGCCATCCATCCATCTTGCCCTTGGTCGGCCCCTCTTCCTTTTGCCTTCCACTTTCCCCAGCATAATTGTCTTCTCTAGGTTTTGCCTGTCTCCTCATGATGTGGCCAAAGTACTTCAACTTTGTCTCTAGTATCTTTCCCTCCAGTGAGCAGTCGGGCTTTATTTCCTGGAGGATGGACTGGTTGGATCTTCTCGCAGTCCAAGGCACTCTCAGAGCTTTCCTCCAACACCACAGCTCAAAAGCATCGATCTTCCTTCGCTCAGCCTTCCCTAAGGTCCAGCTCTCACATCCGTAGGTTACTACAGGGAATACCATGGCTTTGACTAGGCGGATCTTTGTTGCCAGTCTGATGTCTCTACTCTTCACTATTTTATCGAGACTGGACATTGCTCTCCTCCCAATAAGTAATCGTCTTCTGATTTCCTGGCTACAGTCTGCATCTGCAGTAATCTTTGCACCTAGAAATACAAAGTCTGTCACGGCCTCCACGGTTTTCTCCCTCTATTTTCCAGTTGTCAATCATTCTTGTTGCCATAATCTTGGTTTTTTTGACGTTTAGCTGCAACCCGGCTTTTGCGCTTTCTTCTTTCACCTTGATTAGAAGGCTCCTCAGCTCCTCCTCGCTTTCGGCCATCAGAGTGGTGTCATCTTCATATCTGAGGTTGTTAATGTTTCTTCCAGCAATTTTCACCCCAGCTTTGCATTCATCCAGCCCCGCACATCGCATGATGTGTTCTGCATACAAGTTAAAAAGGTTGGGTAAGAGTATGCAGCCTTGCCGTACGCCTTTCCCAATCTTGAACCAGTCTGTTGTTCCGTGGTCAGTTCTGACTGTTGCTACTTGGTCCTTGTACAGATTCCTCAGGAGAGAGACAAGGTGGCTTGGTATGCCCATCCCACCAAGAACTTGCCACAATTTATTATGATCCACACAGTCAAAGGCTTTAGAATAGTCAATGAAGCAGAAATAGATGTTTTTCTGAAACTCCCTGCCTTTCTCCATTATCCAGCGGATATTGGCAATCTGGTCTCTCATTCCTCTGCCTTTTCTAAACCCAGCTTGAACATCTGGCAACTCTCGCTCCATGTATTGCTGGAGTCTTCCTGCAGGATCTTGAGCATTACCTTACTGGCATGAGAAATAAGGGCCACTGTACGGAAGTTTGAGCAGTCTTTCGCATTTCCCTTTTTTGGTATGGGGATATAAGTTGATTTTTTCCATTCTGATGGCCATTCTTGTGTTTTCCATATTTGCTGGCAAATGGCATGCATCACCTTGACAGCATCATCTTTTAAGATTTTAAACAGTTCAGCTGGGATCCCGTCGTCTCCTGCTGCCTTGTTGTTAGCAATGCTTCTTAAGGCCCATTCAACCTTACTCCTCAGGATGTCTGGTTCTAATTCATTCACCACACCGTCATAACTATCCTCAATAATAATATGACTCATAATTCCCCCCATACTGGCAGGGAGGCTATGCCAATCAAGCCTGATTTGGTTAGCTGTCTGCCTGTCATGTTCTCCATCTTTCTGCTGCCACTATCTGCTGGCTGCTCTCCTTATTGCATAACACCAGTGTACAACAACAGCCTTTATTGGCATACACAAACAAAATCACAGCACAGACGCATATAAGAAAAAGAAATCACAGATAAAAAAAGAAAAACATGATTCAAAATTACTAATCTCAAGAACAAAACTTGCAACAGTCTCACAAAAGAATGCATCAGAGTTGTTCAGTATAGAATTTTGTAACACTCGTGCAATTGAGGACAATGCAAACATTAAATTGCTGTATTTCATCCATATCTTATATTTGGGAACATGCAAACAAAGCATGGTCAGCTGTTTCTACAGAAACCAAGTCACAGAAATACAATATAACACAAAATCTACCCTAATAGAAGTCTGGAAGGAGGAATTAAGTTGCAGTGAGAGAGAAATAGACAATTGGATGAATTCAATCAATAAAATAAAATACCTAAAGATTAAAGAAATGCAACAGAAAATGGTACAGAACTCCCGTACAACTGGCACATATTATGAAAACGTGTCCAAAATTATGTTAGCACAACTGCGGAAAAATAGGAACATGCACCCACATGTGGTGGGAATGCGAAAAAATCCAAAAGTTCCATGAAATAATCAGGAAGGAAATGGAGGAGCTATTAGGGATGAATATAGAATAAGACTCAATTTTTCACCCAGAAATTGGAAAGTAAAGGGGAATATAAATAAAGTGAGGAAATAATAAAACACATGATAGAGGCAATCAAAGTCTCAGTGGCCCTGGGATGGAAGGACCACAAGAAATGGGATATAGAATCATAGAATCAAAGAGTTGGAAGAGACCTCATGGGCCATCCAGTCCAACCCCCTGCCAAGAAGCAGGAATATTGCATTCAAATCACCCCTGACAGATGGCCATCCAGCCTCTGTTTAAAAGCTTCCAAAGAAGGAGCCTCCACCACACTCCAGGGCAGAGAGTTCCACTGCTGAATGGCTCTCACAGTCAGTTGTTCCTAATGTTCAGATTGAATCTCCTCTCTTGTAGTTTGAAGCCATTGTTCCGCGTTCTAGTCTCCAAGGAAGCAGAAAACAAGCTTGCTTCCTCCTCCCTGTGGCTTCCTCTCACATATTTATACATGGCTATCATATCTCCTCTCAGCCTTCTCTTCTTCAGGCTAAACGTGCCCAGTTCCTTAAGCCGCTCCTCATAGGGCTTGTTCTCCAGACCCTTGATCATTTTAGTCGCCCTCCTCTGGACACATTCCAGTTTGTCAATATCTCTCTTGAATTGTGGTGCCCAGAATTGGACACAGTATTCCAAGTGTGGTATAAATATCTAGCCGATTACCTTCTCCAAGATTATATTAGCGAAAGGAAAAGTTACTATAAGACGGGTCAAAGCAGAAGGACGTGGGAAGCAAAATGGAAGGGTCTCATATACAGAATAAAGGGGAAAGATAAATATATGGTGTTAAATAAGACTATTCTCATGACTGAACAATTGTAATAAACACAGCAAAAGTACTTAACTGTTCCTGGGCCGGGGAGGGGGGTTGTGGTGGTGGTGGGATTGGGAAAATACTGGTATTTTGAATGTTAATTTCAAAGATGGTATGTTTCTATGTATTATACAATAAAAATTATTTTTTAAAAGTGTGTCTAACATTTTGTCCATAATTTATCTGAAACTAGCATTTACTAAACATGTGGACACGTTAATTATTAACATTGGTAGAAGTAATGATTACTTCAGAAAGTTAAATATACTCTAAAATTAAGGGAATTGCCTTAAAGCCAATATTGATTTGATGTTCTGTTTCTGCTATAGATACTAGAGTGAGGTAGGGTACTAAAAGAAAAAAGGGGAAAGAAATAAAAGAGAAAAGGATGAAACTTTGCACTTGTTCCGTGATTGTTGCTCTTGTATTGGCTTCAAGCTATGCTACTAGTACAACGGTAAGTGTGACTTTTCATTTTCTTGCTATTTGTTCCACTGAGTTCTGGGTTAATAAGCTCTAACCAATGTACTTAGTTTTGGACTCTTAAAATACTTTGGCAGTGACTTACTAAAACCTAGAAAAAAATCTGGCAAGGAACAGACCTTAGATTCAAAGGAAGTCAAGGATCATTCGACCAGGTGAATAGTCTAGTTGGCAATGGACATAATACTCTCTTGCCTGCCTGAGACAAAGCAACAAATTGTGCCTCATCTCCAAAGGGACACAGCAGCTAAAGTCAAAGTATTTTGATACTTGAGGCAGAAAATCCCACAAGCAGCTCTCTTTCACCAGCAGTACAAATACAATAACGACACACTAAATAACTCACATTTGGTGCCTTTCATGGGACCTACAATGCAGTTGCGGCCTCCTTTTGCCTAATGGTAGGGCAGGCCCTAATATTAGATTTTCGAGTGAAGCGTTTGATATTTGAAGCATATTGAAATACAATTAGTATTCTGCTTTCTAAAGACTGTGATAAATATATGGCATCTCAATCTATACATATGGAAATATGCCCACTCTAGACAATGAAAACAATGGGCATGTGTCAGGAGCGACTTGAGAAACTGCAAGTCGCTTCTGGTGTGATGGAATTGCCCGTCAACAGGGACGTTGCTCAGGGGACGCCCAGATGTTTTACCATCCTGTGGGAGGCGTCTCTCATGTCCCCACAGCCCCCGGTGGCGCAATGGGTTAAACCCTTGTGCCAGTTGAACTGCTGACCAAAAGGTAGGGAGTGGGGTGAGCTCCCATCTTTCAGCTCCAGCTTCCCATGCGAGGACATGCATCAGATGCAAGAAAGGATAGCAGCAATCTGAACGCAGTGGCCTGTGAGCAGTCCTGCCTGTGGGTTTAGTGGTGAGCAAGACAGCCCTATTAGAGACCTTTCTGGGCTTTTTATTTATTTGTTTGTTTGATGTGCTATAGAAGGTTTTTTATATATATATTCAAGGCTATGGCACCAAAACAAAAGCATGTGTTTTTAAAATGTTCTCAGAGCAACATATTGAAAGTAATCTCCCACCTTAGCATGCTACTTCTGGCTTGAATGGAAGCCATCCTTTTGATGTGCATTTCTGCCTGTTGAACTTCACCCAAACTTTCAAATGCAGTAAAGACCTCATCATATTGGGCTTGGGCTCCATCCTAGGACACTTCCTGGACGGAGCCCGACAGGGCTACTTCCGGTGGATCTCTATCCTGGAAGTGTCCTAGGATAGAGTCCTGAGAGCACGGGATGCTTCCCGTGTTCCCATTAATTAGAACATGTAAGCAAGCATGGGGGATGTTGGGCGGTGATACTTTCCCCCTTGTGATGGGGAAAGCGGCAATGCAGGGCACAGGGTGACGGTTTCCCCCACTGCCCCACGGATTGGCCATACTTCACGGCAAATCCCCCCACTGTTGCCTGCATTTTGGACCTGATTGGGATGTGGTCCATAGTGTCAAAATACAGCCAACACTCTCAGTGCCAAGTGTAGCAATCAAATTAAACATATACAGAGTTCTTGAAAATAAAGATCTCTGAAGACACTGCCTTATTAAAATGGCAACCTAATATTTTAAATAGCATTCTTTCTTCCTCCTATAGATCTGGAAACTTTCCTTGTCATTAGAATCTCAAGATTCCAATTTAATCCAAGCGTATAGTAGCTACTGTTATGGATATAACATAGCAACCCCACACCCCTACCCGTCCACACGCACACAAACATAAGCCGGAGCTTTAAGGCTGCCAGGTTTCACATCAATATGGCATTTTTGCATTGAAATAACTGCATGTAATGGGAATACAGCCAGGACTGTACAAGGAGGCTTTTAATAACATGAGTCCTATTAAAACCTCAAGATTGTTGCTGTGACTGTAATAGCAGCACTTAGCAATTCAGTCTCCTTTAGCCGCTGTGTGTCTCTTTTGTGGAGAGAAAAAGTGGAGTATAAATAATAATAATAATAATAATAATAATAATAATAATAATAATAATAATTTTTGTCGTGTCAGGAGCAACTTGAGAAACTGCAAGTTGCTTCTGGTGTGAGAGAATTGGCCGTCTGCAAGGATGTTGCCCAGGGGACGCCCGGATGATTTGATGTTTTATCATCCTTGTGGGAGGCTTCTCATGTCCCCGCATGAGGAGCTGGAGCTGATAGAGGGAGCTCATCCGCCTCTCCCCGGATTCGAACCTGCGACCTGTCGGTCTTCAGTCCTGCGGCACAGGGGTTTAACCCACTGCGCCACTGGGGGCTCCAATAATAATTATAATTATAGTTGTTGTTATTATTATTATTATTATTATTATTATTATTATTATTATTTCCAATGCCACAGAACCAAACAAGACTCTGGCACAAGCCAGTCAAGGTGGTCCCAGTGGTGATCGGCACACTGGGTGCAGTGCCTAAAGACCTTGGCCTGCACTTAAACACAATCAGCACTGACAAAATTACCATCTGCCAGCTGCAGAAGGCCACCTTACTGGGATCTGCATGCATTATTTGCCGATACATCACACAGTCCTAGACACTTGGGAAGTGTCTGACGTGTGATCCAATACAACAGCCAACAGAGTGTCTGCTGTGGACTCATCTTGTTGTGTTTCTAATAATCATCATCATCATCATAATCATCAACATCATCAAAGTAAAATAGTTGCCATTCATATAGCAAAAGAACTCTGTACTGTCCCCCGACTTTGCCAAAAGCAAGGCAAAGTGTGTTTAAACAAACAAACAAAAGGCCAGGATACTCATGAGAGAGTGTTGTGCATTAGGACATTAAAGGGGAAAGACAGAAGTGCATTACACAGTGAGTCTGAAGTTTGAGATTCACATAGACAAGTGTGCACACTCTCTTTCTCACTCACTTTCTTTGCCCAATTCTATGGTATGTGTTCCACAAAAAGAAGGATTCATATTAAAGCCCACTAGCAAGTTCAGCTCTGTCTGTCTTCTCTAAATATGAATTTTGCCTTTGCAAAATGCAATGTAAAATGTGAACATTCTCTTCGTTGTTTTTTAAAGGAGGAGAGCAGAAGGTTTGGACAGGAAACAAGAGAAGCCAAGAATAACACTCATCAACCCAGAGGTACCAAAGATACTTTAATATGTGCCAACTATGGATGCTTCAAGGTGGATTGTGCCTGCTGCCCACGGTCCAAAAGCATTCTGTGGCTTTTCTATCCCTTTTTAAAATTAATGCTCCCCCACCCCCGGTAAAAAAAAGATGAAAAAGTATATGAAAAAGTATGACAGGGCTGCAAACAGAAGCTGTGGGCTGTTGTTCTTGCGCACCTATAAGTAATTTCTGACTTACCTTAAGACAAACCTAGTAGGAGGTTTTCTTGTCAGTATGTATTCAGATGAGATTTGCCCTTGTGTTCCTCTCAGGCAGACAAAGGCTACACTAGCTTATATATTCACTGATTTCCAAAGGCTGGCCTTCCTCCAAAAAAGAAGAGGTCCTGCCCCTGCCACTCTCTAGCTAGAAATCAATACATGATTTCTCAATTTCCTTGCTCTGCAATTCACTGAAATCGAGGTGGATAAACTCCCTAAATTCTTCTTGTCAAGCCCTTCAGCAGCAAGCTATATTTTCACTGTTATCAATGCCACTGCCTGAACTTTACTAGCAGGGAGCAAAGTAATGGGGATCCCATTACACACAGAATTATTCAACTCCATTGCTTTACCTGAGTCTGATGAAGATCAGAACCCTTTCACACTACACCATTATAGCAGTATGATTCCACGTTACTTGCCATGGGTGTATCCAAATGGAATATTGGAATTTGTAGCTTGCTAAGGCACTAACCCCTGGTGGCGCAGTGGGTTAAAGCGCTGAGCTGCTGAGCTTGTTGACTGAAAGGTCACAGGTTCGATTCCGGGGAGCGGCGTGAGCTTCTGCTGTCAGCCCTAGCTTCTGCCAACCTAGCAGTTCGAAAGCATGCAACATGTGAGTAGATCAATAGGTACCGCTCTGGTGGGAAGGTAATGGCGCTCCATGCAGTAATGCCAGCCACATGACCTTGGAGGTGTCTATGGACAACGCTGGCTCTTCGGCTTAGAAATGGAGATGAGCTCCACACCCCAGAGTCAGACATGACTGGACTTAATGTCAGGGGACAACCTTTACCTTTAAGGCACTAGAGCCCCAAGTGGAAAAACTCCAAAGGTGTATCACCAATGCCCAACATCCAGAGGCGAACCTAGGTAATTTTCAACTGTAAGCAAACAGTATTTTGCCCCCCCCCCCCCAACCAATCACTGATATATATTTTCTGTTCGTCGTGGGAAGTTCTGTGTGCCATATTTGGTTCGATTCCATCATTGGTGGAGTTCAGAATGCTCTTTGATTGTAGATGAACTATACATCCCAGTAACTACAACTGGCATATGTCAAGGTCTATTTTCCCCCAAGAGCGCCTCAAGAGCGCCCCTGGGCAAAATCAACTATACTGCAAATGCTTACTTGAGCCGCCCCTGCCAACATCACCCACCTCTCAAGATCCGTGTCATTTAACATTTCTCTAAATCAAAAGTCTTAGTTTTACCAATGGTACTGCATTGGTACAAATAGGAAAAGCAACGTGCAATTGACAATTAGGGGTACGCAAAATTCCGTTCTGTTTATGTTCTGTTTTTGTGAAGATTCTTCCTGAAATGGAAACGGAACTCAGAGTTCCAAATTACTAATCTGACCGGTCCCCTCCTAATCTCCCAGAATTTTCCTGAAAACAGAACATAGGGCACTCAAAATTAAAAACGAAAACAGAACAGATTTCGTTCCTATTGACCATAGTTCCAAGATTTATAAAGATACAGCATTTTGGAATTGGGCACATGTCCAGTATTCATAGAGTAAACTGTAGAGGTGATGCAGATATTTGATCTGGATCAGAACCTTGTTAAAAAGCTTGTTTATTTTTACTTATGTTGTACTGTGGGTTGTATGCTTTATCTGTAGGTGTTAAATGTGTTTGCCAAAAGTTTTGATGCAGCCGATGGACTGATCAATAAAACATACTAATAGAAAACAAGATCATCAAGTTTTCAGACAACAACAAATTGGGAGGGACAGCTAATACCAGGGCCATAGCCAGAAAAAAATTTCGGGAGGGGTTGAAAATTTGCGGGAGGGTTGAAAATTTCACCGGGGGTGGGGGTGGGGGGGTTGAAACCTGCCTCCTAGCTCACGCTGAAGCAAAGAGCACAGCAGGGGGCAGAGCAGCCTTCAATAGCCTGCAGCTCCGCCCCTGTCAACCACCTCCACCAAGTCTGGCCTTCTTAATGAGAGCATTCAACACCCCCCCCCCCCCCACAACTTGGTTGCTTCGCTACATCGGCTATTGCTGCAAGTAATGACAGTGTGAATAAATTGTCAATATTTGTTGAGATAGTGCTTGCAGTTCTGGAGGGACTCTTAATTTTTTGCATCTCATAGACTTAGCATGGGGATTTGGTTAACCAGTTAAAATTCATGAGTAAACCAGGTTTTTTTAAATCTGAAACATTTCGGGGGGGGGTTGAACCCCTAAACCCCTCCCCCTCGCTACAGGCCTGGCTCAGCTGCAGGCAGGCGCATGCGCTGAGCCTGCTTCATGTTCATGTTCTTCACCATGATCTTTTCCTTCAGAGACATCTGTTGTCCCAATGCAAAATGGGTTCTCCAGCAGTTTCTCTGTCTTTTCTCCCACTTTGATTATTTTGTTTCCAGAAAACTGGAATCCCCTCCTGAGTTTTGCAACTGTTTTGCGTATTTTGAAGCAAAAGCTACACGTTTTGCAATAGACACAAAACTGGGTAATGAGTGTTTCGAACCAGGGTTTCTGAAAGACCAACAGTGTTTGATTTGTTCCTAACCTGTTTCAGAATTTTGCAGTTCTGCAGTTTTGTTTACAACATGTTTTGCGAAAGCCTCACAACTGAATAATGAGTGTCTCAAACCAGAGCTTCTAGTCAACTGCAACATTTTGAGACACCCCATGTAGTGAAATCATACCTTTGCTTCGTAGGACGCAGCCTGGGAGTCAGTGAGCAGACCTCCATGTTGGGAGGGTGCTAAGGATAGCTGACATTTTGGTAAGGCAGAGAGGCAAGGGGAGGAGTCAGCTAACTCCTGATTGGCTCAGACCCCTAGGGGAGGAGTTGAAGGAGTGGTGTAAAAAGGCTGTACTTTCTGTCAGAGAGGGAGAAGAGGGATTTGATCTAAAAGAGATAGGATTGAGATTTTCAGGCAGGGAGAAGAGAGTTTCTGAGTGAGTGAGAAATTAGACTGTCAGGGAATAATAGAGGACAAGCGCTTCAAGGTATTTTGGCTTGGGCGGTCAAAGGGAAGGCTTGTTGACTTGTATTAGGAGAAAATACAAGTGGTTTATTTCCCTACAGTGCAGAGTAGTCTAGAAGGAACCTAGTTACTCTTGCAGGCAGCCAGGGCAGCTGGTCTAAGAGACACACTGTTACTTGCTATAGGGATAGTGTGTGGAAAGTAACTCACGTCCAAGAAAAGTTACTCTTTCTATAGAAACCATTTGTTTTATAAGTCTGTGCCTCAGAAACCAACTACGCATATGTACCACTCAGTAATGAGTTGTCTGTTTCAAATATTTCAATAAACCTGTTCTCTAGTTTACTTTTAAATCTGCCTCAGCCTTGTTTTGTCATATAAAGCTAGATTCAGTCAGCCTCTACATCTCTGCAGTCCAGTCACACGAAAGGGAGCCAAAAAGAAGAACCGGTGAATAGGGACATTTTACCTCAAGTATATCATCTAGTTAATTCCTCAATCAGGAGTTTGAGGTGGTGGCAGCAAACCTACCATATACACACACCTTTCCCTTTCATCACCTTTGTGTGTAACACCCTTGCATATTCCTGTCACACAGGAGCAATAAGAGACCCTGATCTCTTAACCCTCTTTACAGTGGTGGCAGCGGTGGGATTGAAAAGTAAGGTTTCCCCCCTGTCACACGTAGATAAGGGACCCCTCGGTCCTTAACTCCCTTTACACCCCACCATTCAGAAACTTGTTTGAGACATCCATTACTCAATTTGGGGAGGCTATTTTAAAATGGGCAGAATGGGTTGGAAACCCATTTTGAAACAATGGCAAAAGTTTGGCACAGATTTGGAATGAATCAGACAATATTGATTTGGGGGAAGGGGGGTAATAAGAAATTGGCACATACAGATCTCTGCTTCAAGACATGGGCTTTTTCTTAAAGAACAATTGCGGGTTTAGAAAGGATTCCAAGTTTCAGGGTTTGCAGTTAACAAAGCTCCTTTCCTAGGCTGTTTCTGTGAGGGACAGATGAAAATCCCCAACAAGCCAACCCCACAAAAACTCAATAACTCCTCCTGGTGGAGATTTTTATTCCACATGGTCACTTACTTTGTTGTATCTACTGAATTGCTTTCCCAATGTGTTTTCTCATAGAATCATAGAATCAAAGAGTTGGAAGAGACCTCATGGGCCATCCAGTCCAACCCCCTGCCAAGAAGCAGGAATATTGCATTCAAATCACCCCTGACAGATGGCCATCCAGCCTCTGTTTAAAAGCTTCCAAAAAAGGAGCCTCCACCACACTCCAGGGCAGAGAGTTCCACTGCTGAACGGCTCTCGCAGTCAGGAAGTTCTTCCTCATGTTCAGATGGAATCTCCTTTCTTGTAGTTTGAAGCCATTGTTCCGCGTCCTAGTCTCCAGGGCAGCAGAAAACAAGCTTTCTCCCTCCTCCCTGTGGCTTCCTCTCACATATTTATACATGGCTATCATATCTCCTCTCAGCCTTCTCTTCTTCAGGCTAAACATGCCCAGCTCCTTATAAGCCACTCCTCATAGGGCTTGTTCTCCAGACCCTAAACATTCCCAGCTCCTTAAGCCACTCCTCATAGGGCTTGTTCTCCAGGGCTTGTCTCAGATGGGGCAAAGAACACAAATGACATAATAGGCATGGGCTTTTCTATCAGTAAATACATTAATAAATGCCTGACAGTCCTAAATCAGAGGAACCCCCAAACTGTACCTGGGCATATTTAAATACCTGGTCTGATCTTTTGGGATCATGGGGAAGACCTCAGACCCTGGAAATGACAATGTTGGGACGTGATTCTAAAATAATGCATTGTTTTGATTTTTCAGATCTTTGCCGAAGACACCCTTGCAGAAATGGAGGGACATGTTTGACTCCATGTGACACATGTTCTCATACATGCATTTGTCCTTCAGCATTCACAGGGGGAAACTGTGAAGTGGGTAAGTGCTATTCTTTTTAGTAAAATTGAAGAAACGAACACAACTGCTGTCTGAAGCTGTGTGGGTAAACAAAGCCTACCACTCACTCTGGGAAGCCACTGCCAAAACCACTCCGCTAAAACAATCTATCACAGCCTTAGTATGCCAACAGCGTTGTCGGCAGTGGGAAGACTTTTTAAACATGAGTTTTGGTAACAGCTTTTGACTGTCTATTTCAATGCCCATTTTATTAGTCCTGTTGTTGTTTTAGAATTTTTATCTTTGAAATCAAAATGTATGTTGCACTCCACGGCAATCTCCCAAATTGTGTAGAGTTATGAAGCCTATTTATTTTCCCTGGAATAACAATGAAAATCAGAAATAGTAGCATACCTAGAAGAGAGGGAAAACTGTCATCTCTTCTCAAAGGGAGATGATCCACTGACCAGCAGGTCTCTCTGGGTCAGGAATGTACCATTTCCCATTCTGACATTGTGGGTCCTTCCACACAGCCCTATATCCCAGAATATCAAGGCAGAAAATCCCACAATATCTGCTTTGAACTGGGTTATCTGAGTCCACACTCAGATAATGTGGGATTTTTGCCTTGATATTCTGGAATACAGAACTGTGTGGAAGGGCCCTGAGTGAATTGTTATTGTCACTGAATTCTCACCATGAATGCAACCATTGGTAACCTGGTGGTTGTCACTGAATTTGAGCAACAAGTAAAGAGAGTCTATCCCCCGACACACCCCCACACACATATATAACAAAAACGTAATAGTTTCAGAATATGGAATAATATGATTTTATGCTTCTTGGAATTTCAGCAAAATGTTTTGATGAAGCTCTCTATGAATATTTTGAGAACGGAGAAACCTGGGGAAGGATCTATCAAGGGACAGTGCAACACTGCACTTGCATTAATAGCCTAATTGAGTGCCAACGTGAACAGTACACAGGTATTTATGTTTCTTTCATTTTATGCAATTCAATTTATATCCTGCCTATGGAATCCAAGCTGGCTCACAATATAAGTTAAAACAAATCATAGTTTGAAAACTATTAAATAATCATATTAAAATAATTATTTCAAAAAGCAGTTGAAATATAGTAATGATAAAGGTAAAGGTTTCCCCTGACATTATTTAGTCGTGTCCGACTCTGAGGGGTTGTGCTCATCTTCATTTCTAAGCTGAAGAGCCAGCGTTGTCTATGGACACCTCCAAGGTCATGTGGCCAGCATGACTGCATAGAATGCTGTTACCTTCCCGCAGAAGCAGTAGCTATTGATCTACTAACATTTGCATGTTTTGAAACTGCTAGGTTGGCAGAAACTGGGGCTAACAGCAGGAGTTCACCCTGCTCCCCAGATTCAAACCGCCAACCTTTCAGTCAGCAAATTCAGCAGCTCAGCAGTTTAACTCGCTGCACCACCAGGGGCCCCTGAAATAGTAATGATGAAAATAAAATACAGCACATCGCATTAAAATACTTTGTGGCATTGATAATAAACAATCATACACTTGGGTTAACAAAAAGGTCTTCATCTGCTGGGAGAAAGAGAGGAGAAGAGTTACCAGCCTATTTATTATTTATTATTATTATTTATTTCAAACATTTGTACCCCGTACTTCCCAACCCCCAACTCATTTGATGGCAACACATACAGTATAACACAATATCATACATTAAGAAAAAACATTAAGTAAAAACATTAGATTAGAAGTTCATTTAAAACATTATTATCAGCCATAAAACCTTATCCTATCCAATTCAGAGTCCAAAGACTTAATCCAGAGCCTGTCCATTGTCCGTTCACGTAAACATTGCAATTACTATTCAGCCTGCTACCCAAATGCCTGGACCCAGAACCATGACTTGAGCTTCTTCCTAAAGGAAAGGAGGGATGGAGCTGACCTAACTTCACTGGGGATTGTGTTCCACAAGGGGGTGCCACCACCAAGAAGGCCCTGTCTCTCGTTCCCACCAAACACGTTTGCGACGAAGGCGGGAATGAGAGCAGGGCCTCCCGGGATGATCTTAAACTCTGAGACAGGACATAGAGGGAGGTGCCTAGCCTCCTATGAAAGGGCATTCCATGTTCTGGCTGCAGCCATGAAGAAGGCTCTCTTCTATATCCCCACTAAGTTTCCTGTTAGGGTTATGGGACTAAGATATTCCCCCAAGAATCTTGAAAATGCAGGCAGGCTCATATTAGGAAATGTGGTCTTTCAGACAGTCTGGACCCAAGCCATATAGGACTGCATAGGTCATAACCAGCATACTTAATTGTGGCTGTAAATAAACTGGTAAAGCTCTTTCAACAAGAAAGTTATTTGTTCCCTGGAACCAGATCTGGTCAGTAGTCTGGCTGCAGTAATTTGAACCTACAGCGGTTTCTGAAGCAGCCCAACATAGAATGTGTTACAGTAATCCTAATGGATGCAATCGAGGCGTGTGTCACCATGGACAGATTTGGCATCTCAAGGAATTAGCACAGCTGGCACACTAGTTTTAACTGTATGAATGCACTCCTGGCTGCTGCCAAGTGCTGGGCCTCCAGGCTCAGATCTGTGTTCAAGAAAATGCTCAAAGTACAAATCTGAGATTTCAGGGGGCGTGTGGCGCTGTCCAGCACAATCTGAATTCATATTCACTGGCCTGCCTTTGACTGACCAGAAGCACCTCTGTCTTATCTGGATTAAGTTTTTTCCCTCATCTAATCTTCTGCTGAGCGAAAAAAGGCTGAGCGAAGGAAGATCGATGCTTTTGAACTGTGGTGTTGGAGGAAAGTTCTGAGAGTGCCTTGGACTGCGAGAAGATCCAACCAGTCCATCCTCCAGGAAATAAAGCCCGACTGCTCATTGGAGGGAAGGATACTAGAGACAAAGTTGAAGTACTTTGGCCACATCATGAGGAGACAGCAAAGCCTAGAGAAGACAATTATGCTGGGAAAGTGGAAGGCAAAAGGAAGAGGGGCCGACCAAGGGCAAGATGGATGGATGGCATCCTTGAAATGACTGGACTGACCTTGAAGGAGCTGGGGGTGGTGACGGCCGACAGGGAGCTCTGGCGTGGGCTGGTCCATGAGGTCACGAAGAGTCGGAGACGACTGAACGAATGAACAACAACACTCTTCTGCTGACAGCAGACACTAATTTAACAATAAGACACCTTCCTCAGAATTAGATGGAAAAAGAAAGAGACAAGTGACGTCAGTATGCTTTTGATAAAACACTCCCAAAAGTTTGGATAACTTCTGCCAGTGGTTTTTATGTAGACGTTGAATCTCATGGTGGCCAAAACAGAGATCTCTGGAATATTGCAGACCTGCTTTGGAATCAAGAAAAATCCCCAAGCCCCACCTTCTGAGCTAGCATCTCCAAAAAACACCAGAATCACTTTAAAACAGTGCCTGCAGTGCCCAGAGAGATGTCTCAGAAAGATACAAAGGGTATTGAAGGCTGCTGAGAGGTGTCATAACTCTGGAGTCAGAAGATTCAGATGGAGAGGAGGAGCCCAGGAATCTGCAACTCCTGATGATGGTGGTGCTTTTTCTACATCAGAGGAGACAGAGACTGTGGCAGAGATTTTGTTGATCTCGGTTTGGCTATGATTTACCTCTCTGTTTTTACTCCTTGCTGGTTTTGCCTATCTGGACCACTGACCCAGAGGCAACTCCTGGTCTGGCTGATGACCACTCTCTTGCTTCATCATCATCTCATCGAAAATCTGTGACTGACTGGACTTAATTAGCTACTCAACAGCTCTGGGTTTCCAACTACCTGGTTCCTGGGTCACTTGCTAACTGGAACACCAAACAGTCCATTGTTGACATAAGTCACCCAGCAAGTTGACCAAAGCTGTCTCTGTCCCATAATCAGGGCTAAAGTCAGATTGTATTGCATCTAGAGCTGAGAAAGGCTCATTCCCCACAATCCTGCTTCATCTGGAGGCTGTGGTAAGACCTCTTTTAAAGAAACCTTCCCTAGACCCCACTGTAATTGACAACTGTGCTGGCACAACTGTGCCAGGAGTTTAGAATTTCTTTTCTTGCATGGCTAGATTGCTTTAAATTACTTGGGCCATGCATTTTGCAGTAAGATAGCTTCCCTCAGTTTGCAACCATAGGGCCAATGATTCATCAATCATCGTTAGAGCCATTAGATCCGCCCCTTTTCCCAGGTTTGGAGGGAAAAAGGAACTTTTAGCTCAGTTTACAATTGGAAGCCTTACAGATAGGATGTGTGGACTTTTCTCTCCCCACCTGTAAAAAGCTTCATTTCACACAGCTTTGCTGGGGGAAAATAAGAAAGGTCTCACAGCTTCGCTAGGGAAAAAAGGAAAACCTCCATAGCTTTGTTGGGGTTGAAGAAATAGATCTACAGCCAGCTTTGCTGAGGAGAAAGGTTACAGTCAGCCTTTGCTGGGAAATACAGCCAGTTTTGATGGGCAAAAGGAATGGTTCTACAACCTGTGTGGAAAATCGAAAGGACACCAACTCGGAAGATTCACAGAAGACCTTATCTGGTAAGGGACACTCGGGCAATCCATAATGCAGCTTGGAGCCAGGAGTAGGGGCCTCACGCCAGTAAGGTAAAGGAAGATTTGCCCAAGGAGGGGTCAGAAGGTTTCCCCAAGGAAAAGGAACAGTTCATTAAGCAGTTGCCTGTCCCTTGTGGGCAGGTTAAGAAAGCTACCAGTTTTCCAGAGTTTTACAGTATTTAATTCCTTTGTTGAATATTTAAGTACCAATAAAGAACTTTGTTGAACTTACTTTAAGCCTCTACACAACTTTGTGGTGGGAAACCCAAGGGCCCTTTAGTTGAGGCAGCCCCAGTGTCCCGTTGGACATACAGAAAGCACGTCCTGCAAATAGACATTGCCACAGCCCAGCGTGCGACAGCACAACTACAGACGAACCTCCAATTTCTGGGCAAAGTACTAGTGCATGTGGTGTCTTCTCAACTCCAATGGTTCCTGGATGAAGTAGATTATCTAGATCAGTGTTTCTCAAACTCTGCTCCTCCAGGTGTTCTGGACTTCAACTCCCACAATTCCTAACAGCAGGTAAACTGGCTGGGATTTCTGGGAGCTGAAGTCCAAAACACCTGGAGCAGTAGAAGTTGAAAAACACTAATCTAGATCCATTTCAGTCTGGTTTCAGGCCTGGCTATGGGACAGATAAATAAAGTATAAATCAAGTTGTAAATAATGACGATGATGATGATGATGATGATGATGATGATGATGACAACACCAGGTTTCCATAATACAAGACAGGCTAGTATATTCATCAAGTCCTGAAATTAGGTTTGCCCTATCAGTATCAACATTTCCAGCCCTGAGACCTGTTCCAAGGCTATCTAGACTATAGATATCATCATACTTACCAATTTAAGTGTCTTAGGATGTTTGCCAGCTAGTTGAGGGATGGATAGGCATGCAGCCGATCACATGATGTCCCTCAACTTCTGACAGAGACCCCACACTCAACCGGCATGGAAGCAACCTACGTTGCTTCCTCGTCAACGCTGTAAGGCCCTGGCGTGGTTAAGCGAAGCTTCCCCCATGTGATGGTGAAATGGCACCAGAGGTGAGGCGTGTGATAAGGTCCATGATGTAGGGGACCTGCTGTGGTTCCCCTGTTCTTATGCTGTTAGTAATATGATTATTACTTTGTACAAGTAAGACAAGTTTTGTGTACATTTTTGGAAATTTTGGAGAAATGCCTCTAGAACATGGCTCTATAGCCCGAAAAAACCCACAAGAACCTAGCTTAATATGACAATTGGCACAAAAAGATAAAAAACATATTGATGCTATCAACCCTCTAAACAAAATGTGCATGAATTACACCTTTATCTGTAATCTAAATATTTGCCAGAAACATACATGCCCTTTTAGCTATGCGTTACATTGGTGTTTTTGGATGTGTTCGTCTAGATTGCACCATCAACCCATGCCTCCATGAAGCCTCTTGCAGGAGAACTGCCTTCACTAACAGGACTGTCTGTGGGTGCAGACATACTTTTGTGGGGAAATACTGCAATATTAGTGAGTACACCAAGTTCTTTGCGTACAGTTTAAAGAAATAAGACTGGTTGATGTGTTTCCTCTCGTGAAATTATCGCTCTTGTTCTTATTTAACTAAGGACACAATTGCATCCGTCTCACTTCTGTGATTATTTGTGAGCTTTCTGTTGTTTTTGAATTCATTAAAATTATCATTGGTGTTATGTGCTTTAAAGTTGTTTCCAACATATGGTGATCCTGAGGCAAATCTAAAATGGGTTTCCTAGGAAGGCTGTATTCAGAAAGAGTTTGCGATTGCTATTCTTTGAGGCTGAAAGTGCATGACTATAATTCAGTAGGTTGCCATAACATGGCAGGGATTCACATCCTGGTCTTCCAGAGTGGAGTCTGGTGCTCAAATTGATTGATTGATTGATTGATTGATTGATTGATTGATTGATAACTTTTATATCCCATTCTTCTCTACCTCCGTGGAGGGACTCAGAATGGCTAACAGCAAAATTCAATACTATACAATAAATAGCGTCATAAAACAACATACACAATAGCTAGGTTCTAATATATATATATGACAATTCATCACATTAAAAACAACATCCAACTCAGTCGAAAACGTTGTGGTCAAATAACTCTATACCAGATCATCCATCAATCTGCAAATGCCTGATTCAAAAGCCAGGATTTTAGCTGCTTCACCGGGGAGAGAGTTCCATAGCCGGGGGGGCACCACAGAGAAGGCCCTGTCTCTTGTCCCCACCAAATGTGACTGTGAAGGTGGTGGGACTGAGAGAAGGGCCTCTCTGGAAGATCTTAAAATCTTTAATGCTCTGGTTTATAGGGAAAGATATAAGCTTTAAGCTACAATACCCTACGTGGCTCTGGTCTGGTTCAGACAGCTAAACCGGACCAGAGACATGTAGGGTATTGTAGCTTAAAACTAGCACTTTGAATAGTGCTGAAACCACTACACCACATTCGTTCCTGGTTATTTAAATTCTGTTGGCCACCATTGACAGTGGTGGTGACCCCATGGCCAGAGGGAGTCATATGCAGGCACAGCAACCTCGTGTGCAATCACAGAATCAAAGAATCTGAAGAGATCACAAGGTCCATCTAATCCAATCCCCACCCTGCATGAACAATGTAGTCAAAGTACTCCTGATAGATGGCCATCTAGACTCTGTTTAAAACCCTCCAGAAGAGATGCCACCACACTCCAGCATGTTCCACTACTGAACAGCTCTTAGCAGCAGTAAGTTCTTTGTTGGGATCCCTTTTGCTGCAATTTGAATCCATTGCTCTGCGTCCTAGTCTCTAGAGCAGCAGAAACCAAGCTTGTCCCCTCCTCAATGTGACATCCCTTCAAATATTCAAGTATGGCTGTCACGTCTCCTCTCAATCATCTCTTTTTCGAGCTAAATATAACCAGCTCCCTAAGCTGATCCTCACAGGCTTTGGCTTCCAGACATTTTATCATTTTGATCACTCTTCTCTGGATGTGTTCCAGTTTGTCAATAGCCTTCTTGAATTGTGGTGCCCAGAACTGGACACAGTGTACTAAGGGAGATCTAACCAAATCAGAATAGAATACAACTAGTGTTACCCTCAATCTCTAGATACTATATTCCTATTGATGCACCCCAGAATGGCATTGGCTGTTTTAGCTGCTGTGTCACATTGTTATCTTCAGCTTGTGGTCTACTAAGGCATATAGGAAGATTAAATTACTGTATCTATAATTGGTGAAGAAAAACATTCTAGTTTATCCATTCTCATGAATAGAATAGCAGGTTCAAATCCGGGGACAGCATGGATGAGCTCCCTCTGTTTGCTCCAGCTCCCCATGTGGGGACATGAGAGAAGCCTCCCACAAGGATGGTAAATCATCAAAAACATTCAGGCATCATCTGGGCAACATCCTTGCAGACGGTCAATTCTCTCACACCAGAAGCAACTTGCAGTTTCTCAAGTCACTCCTAACACACACACAAAAATCATATTGGCCTCTGGAATTGTCACAAATTATAGCGATTCCAGCAGTGCCTGTTTGGGGGCATGGCGAACCCATGACCCGCACTGCCCGACTTGCCGGAAACTCCATCCTATATGGGGAAGTGTCCTCCGCCTGGCTTCCCCCCATTGTTGCCAATGCAACACAGGAAGCTTCCCATGTTGCCTCTGTGGTGGCATACGCCAGTTCCGTTGTAGTTTAGCCATGGAGCCCCACCAGAAGTAGCTCAATGTCATGGGATGGGAGCCAGCAAACCCCATGGCTAAACTACAGCTGAACCAGTGTATACTGCCAAAAATATCCCCATCTGATGAGATTGCAGGTTAGTCTCCCGCATGAAATAATTTCACAGCTTGGGGGGAACTATTGAGAAAGCCTGGTCTTGTGTAGTCACCTAATGTGGCTGTAAATATGGTAGGACCAAGAAAATCAGAACAGCTTAAAAGATAGACAGATATATAGGGGTTATTTTTCAGCCTAGGCCCAGGGGAACTTTTCCCCATCCATCTTCAACATAGATCACCCATCCAGGCAACCAAAGTTATTTCTGTCCCATAAACATGTCTGGAAGCCAGACTGAAATGGATCTAGATAATCCAATTTAATCCAGGAGCCACTCTCGCATAGCTTGCATGAAAATGAGAAGGCTGATAATCATCCAGTATAGTGGGGTGCAAGGACAATTTTTTCATCAGAGATCACTTGCTATGAAGACACATGGGAACTTTATTTTTCCACTCATTTGATCTCACACACATACACCTTGCATCATATGAGCTGGGAAGGGCGAGGATCCAATAAGCATGTGATGGGATCCTTTCAATAGCATCAGGCTTATTTATTATTTATTTATTAACTGCATTTCTATACCACTTTTCTCACCCCTGGGGCACTCAAAGTGGTTTACAACATAATAAATGGCAAATTCAATGCCTCAAATATATACAAAAATATCACATATCCAAATCAGTAATATATAACTATAGAAAATAACCATTAAAACTATAAAAACATCAAACATAGACATAAGCATGAAATATATTATTGCTGCAATTAACAATGTAGACTCCTTCCCCCCCCCCCCCCCAACTCTCTCTCCATAGTATTTCTGAGTGAAGTCTAGTGAACGAATGTTAAGGGAAGAAGAGAAAATAGCTGTGAAAATTGGAGCAAGAAAGGAGCTGGGTATGAGAATGGGAGTAGGATCTCATGGAGATGTGGAGAAGCTGCCCATAAGAGAAGCTGAATGATTTTCCAGGAAGTAGCTTGGTTTATTTCTGAGGCCTTCCAACACAAGTCAGTAATAGCTGGACTCTCCCCTCGTGGATTTCCACTTAAGCCGGGGACAGCGTGGATGAGCTCCCTCTGTCAGCTCCAGCTCCCCATGCAGGGACATATCAACACAAAATATCAACACAAAACATATGGCTACTGGCCAATTTTATGAAGACACCCTTTACAAGTCAATAAACAAGTTCTGACCAATGTTCCTTTGGCGTTCAACTCTTTTGTGTTTGTATCTAGTTCCTAGCCAAGAGTGCAAATATGGCAACGGATTAAATTACAGGGGCATTGTGAAGAAGACAGTTTCTGGAAATAATTGTCTGCCATGGAACTCAAATTTGCTTAATGCTGACTTTGTTGAAAATCCTGTGCAGCTGGGACTGGGAGCACATTCATATTGCCGGTAAGAAAACGCCTGGCGGAATAGCCAGGGGATAGTAGATGTTGCTAAATGTGTTCATAGAGCAGCGTAGGAAATGTGTTCTAGTATTGTTATTTGTTTAGTGTTTTTGATATCTATCCTATATTACATTTCAAAGAAAATAAATATGTTATGCAAGTTTGGAAATCCCATTTTATCTAGGCCATCCTGTTTGAATCAGGAAAGGAAGCCAGCTTCATAGAGTCATAGAGTCATAGTGCTGAATGTTTTGTTCAATCAAAACTAACTTCAAACCATTAGTCCTGATCCTCTGGGGCAGCAGACATTAGGCCTGCACCCTCCCCTCTGTAAAACCCCTTAATATATTTACAGAGAGCAATCATATCACTCCTGCCTTCTCTTCAACAAGCTGAATGTGCCTATCTCCTTCAACATTTCCTCATATGCCTTGGCTTCCATGCTGCATACAATTGCCTTTCTCTGAAACTGCTTCAAATTATCCTTTCAGGTGCAATGCCCAGCCTGTCTCTCCAAATCAGTCTCACTTGCGAATAGTTACTAACTTTATTGATATAGACAGCACACTTCTTATTGTCAGGACTGAGAGCACAGTTACATGACTTATAAAGGTATTATTATTTGAAGTTTGGCATTAAAGGTAAAGGTAAAGGTTTTCCCCTGACATTAAGTCCAGTCGTGTCCAACTCTGGGGTATGGTGCTCATTTCCATTTCTAAGCCAAAGGACCAGCATTGTCCGTAGACACCTCCAAGGTCATGTGGCCAGCATGACTGCATGGAGCGCCATTACCTTCCCGCTGGAGCGGTACCTATTGATCTACTCACATTTGCATGTTTTCGAACTGCTAGGTTGGCAGAAGCTGGGGCTGACAGCGGAATTTTACGCCGCTCCCCGGATTCGAATCTGCGACCTTTCAGTCAACAAGTTTAGCAGCTCAGTGGTTTAATCCTCTGTGCCACCATATAATGCCATTTGGCATTATATGGTTTGAAGTTGGAAACTTTTTCTTTATTTCCTCAATTGAAATGAAACATGGAAATATGGTAGATTACTTTTAAAAGATGAGAGTGATCTTACATTTTTTATGAAGGGATACATTGTACCAGCTGGCATAACAAAACAGCAGAAGTATAAGTGAAATTAAAATATTGATTAAATTCTTGGATAATAAAGATCACAACATTTAAAGAAACAATTGAGGTTTATGTGGAGGAAGATTGTTCAGATGGAATCCTCTAATATTCCTGGTGTCCCAGAACAAATTCCACTATGTTGTCATTCAGAGGACAGAAACAATTCAGTGTAAAAATATTTGCTAGAGTATGATTGAGTAAATTGGGAATTTTTTATATCAGTGGCCAACCACTTCCCGACCTGGAGAAGAATCAGCTTAAGGGTTCAAATATAAATTGAATTATGTGGTATCAGGTTCAAAATTTCATCAAGCAATTGCATATTTCAAAACAGTTTTTTTAGAAGTCTACCCAACTGAAATGTTTCTAGTCACAATGGCTAAGGCAATGGTTCTCAACCTGGGGTCCCCGGATGTTTTTGGCCTACAACTCCCAGAAATCCCAGCCAGTTTACCAGCTGTTAGGATTTCTGGGAGTTGAAGGCCAAAAACATCTGGGGACCTCAGGTTGAGAACCACTGGGCTAAGGGATTTGGCTCCTGTCTTTAGTGTTAGTTTAGCTGATTTTGATCTGGGCCCCCAAGATGGTCTCAGCAGGATGTGGGAGACATTATTCTACATTATTATATAATCCAGATTATCAAATCAGATAATCTACATTATCTAATTTGAACTGGATTATATCAGTCTAAAATGCTATATAATCCAGTTCAAGGCAGGTAATCTGAGTTTTATATGGCAGTGTAGAAGGGGCTGGAGTTGTCTGCCTAGATAAGGAAAATGGGAGAGTATGCTGGGCAACAGGCCCGTAGCCAGGATTTCGATTTGGGGGGGGGGCTGAGTGGGGGTTCGGGGGGGCTGAGTTTCGGGGGGCTGAGTCTGAGTGAAAGTGGGTCTACCCTAGCAAACCTTTTGTATCATTACCCCAATACCCCCATGCATATGGGATATATTGAGAATGGTGATCAGATCATGATATCAATAAACATAACAGTTTAAATAATGCACCAGTAAGGCCTTTTCGCGAACCACCATGAGAATTTGGGGGGGAGGGGGAAGCCCCTCAAGCCCCCCCCCCCCCCCGGCTTTAACTCTACTCTTTCCCCTGTTTGGCGGATGAGACTTTGAAATTAAAGACTCCTTTCAACTTTTATGGTGCCATTGTAGTAATGCATCTCAATTCTACGATACAGCCTTTTCGGTAATAAATAATATCACTAACTATCACTTTACAAAGACTCCAGAAATAGCTTTCCTGGGTTTTCTTCCAAGGAAACAAGGGAAAAGCATGTCAGAAATTCGTAATTGGTTAGTAGATGTCAGACTGGACATTACGAGGTTTTGAGAAGATTTAAAGGGGCATCTGTGACAAGCTGGTTTAATACATTTCAAACAGCCAAAGGAAAGAAAGAAAAGCAAAATTTACTCTGTATTGGAAGTCTTTTGTTGAATATATTGGGGGAGTTGTTCCTTCAAAAGCATTCAGTTTTCTTTGGCCGACTATGTAAGAAGACAGGTTCAGAAGCAAGTTCAGAGAAGTACAAAAAGAATGGTTCAAGACTTGGAGAACAAAACATATGGGAAAAGGTTGAGGAAGTTGCATATGTTCAACCTATGGAAGAAAAGTCTAAAGGATGAAATTATTGCCCTTATTTCAGCATCTAAAGAGCTGTTACAGAGATGGAAGTCTGCTGCCCCAGAAGGTAGGAACTGGTCAAATGAACAATAGTATTGACAAAAGTCTTCCTTTTGTGGAAGAACTCTTCATTTTGTCAGTTTCTTGGTCTATGTGAGAATCACAGAATCATAGAGCTGGACTCTTTACAACTCTTTGAGTCTGCGATTCTTACACAGACCGAGAAACTGACAAAATGAAGAGGTGTTCCACAAAAGGAAGACTTTTGCCAATACTGTTGTTTTGGTTTTAGAAGCGAAGAAAAACCAAGTAGTCCTTACTATAGGACAAATAAGATAAGTATTTTAATAACATCGAAGAGTTTTTGTCTATTTTAAGAGGCAATGTCATCTTCATTGCTTTAGAAATCTAGATGATGATGAGAAACCATGGTGTTACTTCATCAAAGACAACACAGTATCTTGGGAATACTGCAACATTACATCATGTGGTAAGTAATACTTCTTACCTGTGGAATTTCAGTTTAAACTATCCTGTTGACATTAACATGAGATAAGGAAGAATGGAAGGAGGTCAACAAGTGTAAAGAAGAAGCACCAACAGGGACACATTCTCCCTATCGGTGTTGAGATGGAGATCACCCACTAAGTTCTCAATCTGTGGACCCTCAGATATTTTGGCTTTCAACTCCCAGAAATCCTAACAGCTGTTAAACTGACTGGGATTTTTGGGAGTTGTAGGCCAAAACACCTGGGGACCCACAGGTTGAGAACCACTGTACTAAGATAACCATAGCAGTCTCAACTCTGTATTCTGCTCTGAAACCAGTTTGAAATGGGTCAAGGAAGTGTGTGTCATCCAAGACTGCCTAGAGTTGCAGTACAACTGCCTTCTCAATCACCTTGCCCAAAAAAGAAGGTTAGACTCTAGTCTGTAATTATTAAGATCCAGGGGATCCAAGGAGGGCTAACTACTCCTTCTTTTAAACAGGATGGAAAGTTTCCCTCCCTGAGAGATGCATTAAAAATTGGTTGTATTTGAGATTGAATTACATCTCCTCCCTGGATGATCAGCCAAGATGGACAGGGATCAAGAAAACAGGTTGTCTTCCTTATTTACCCCAGCAGCTTGTCCACATCAGCAGTACTCACCAGTTGAAACTGATCCAGTGTAATCTCACTTAAAGAGTTCCTGAACACCTCATTGTTGGCCTCTGCCCCAATCACAGTGTCTAAGTCAGCTTTCATGCAAGATGTTTTACCTGCAAAATGGTTGTTAAAAGCATCACAGTGAGCTACTGAAGATTCTAGCAATGGGTTCAAAGGGGAGGGCCTCTGGGTCAAGCTTTCTACCACTCTGGACAGTTCAGCTGGACGTGAATCTATGACACTATGCATGCATTGCCACTTTATAGGAGTAAAGGTGTCTTGTCTTGTCACATGAAAATCAAAGTGTTCTGCCATCTGCTCTGGCCAGCAAATCTTCAACAAAAGAGGAAAGTGGTAATTCTAGGGAGTGGGAGGCATTGCTTTGCTGTCCTGGGACACAAGCTTTGGGGAACTAACTGTTGTTAATAGAAGAGTTTTAAATAATGTAGTGTTCTGGCTTTTATTTTGTTTTGTCTTATTAATATTTATTTATTTATTTACCATATTTACACCCCACCCTTCTCACCTGGGAGGGGGCTCAGGACGGCCTTGCAACAGGCAGCAGTTTGATGCCGTACACACATATATCAAAAAATAAACAATTACAATTAAAACCAAGCAATTAAAACATAAATGATTAAACATCAATTAAAATCACTCCATCCAAATCATAATCCAGGGCCGTTCCATTTGTCAATCACAAATTTTTAACATTTGTTTTGTTGAACATCAATTATTGTTCACATGTGCTTTATGTATATTTGTGTCTGTATTGACTTTGTAAGGTGCTGTCAGACCTGGATCTGAGAAAAGTTGGAAATAATTCAGATTTACCATTCCTTATCCAAAATTCTCAAATTCTAAACACCCCCCAAAAGAAAACCATATAAGTGGCTGAGAGGTGACACCTTTGCTTTCTGATTGTTTAGAGTATATACACTTTGTTTCATTAACATAGTTATTTAAAAATATCGTATAACTTACCTCCAGGTTATGTGTATAAGATGTATGCGCAACAAAGATGAATTTCCTGTTTAGCTTTAAGTCCCATCTTCAAAACGTATCATTATTTATGTGCACGCAATTACAGGTATTCCAGATTTGAAAGAAATCGGAAATCCAAAACACTTCAGATCTTAAATATTTCAGATAAAAGACAATCTGTCATAACAACAATAACAACAAAATCACAATAGTAACCATTACAGCAGCACTATGATGTGGCAGGAGCAATGCAATCAAGACAGACGGGATTTGAGCTGACAATTCAGCTTTGCCTGTGTGGATTCACATTTTGCCTTTATAGTAGTGGTGTACATGACATATTTGACATCTGGAGGGATTGCTTTTTAACACTCCTGAGAGAGGTGGAGGAGCAGCATTCCAGGCAGGCCTTTTCCAAGTTACTGATATCAAACTTGAGGTTGCACTACTGGACCAAAGGCTTGTTCAAAGAGGCACATCACCAGGAGCCTGGGCATCCTCCACCAGGAGCCTGGGACTAACTACTACTGCCTCCACTGACCTAGGTCTGTGCCATCACACTGCTGCTGCCACCTCCACTTGCGTTGAAGCTCATCTAGTTGGACTGCCATGGTGGTGGAGCAACAGGGGCTACTAGAGCAAGAAGGGTTTTTTTCCATAGGAGTGACTTGAGAGACTGCAAGTCTCTTCTTGTGTGAGAGAATTGGCCATCTGCTAGGACATTGCCAAGGCGATGCCCAGATGTTTTGTACCATCCTTGTGGGATGCTTCTCTCATGTCCCCGCATGGGGAACTAAAGCTGACAGAGGGAGCTCATCCTCGCTCTCCCTAGATTTGAACCTCTGACCTGTCGGTCTTCAGTTCTGCTGGCACAAGAGTTTAACCCACTGTGCCACTGGGGACTCCATAGAGCAAGCCATGGTGGGCCAACAGTAATGATAGGGTAGTGCTTAGAGTATGGCTGACAAGTCTATTTGAGTCCCCTTGAGGTTGTAGCTTAAATTACCATGTGAGACAGGTCTTCCCCAAACCAGGGCATTTGCCCATATGTTCTTTTCTTTTTTTTTTTTCCTTTTTTTTCTTTTTTTTTTTTTTTTTTTTTTTTCTTTTTTTTTTTTTTTTTTTTTTTTTTTTTTTGTCTTCCCCAAACCAGGGCATTTGCCCATATGATTGCCACTTCCACCACTACCATTTTTCCATTTCCATGCTCTGAGCCTCTCATGGGCAAGGCCAATCCTGACCATTGTATAGCCAACAACAATAGTAAAAAGAGGATGGCAGTGGTGATTGTTGATCTCACTATGGCATATGGCAATCTTAGGCAAACTTGAGTTAATTTGAGGGTAAAGGGGGGCTTTGAAGAAAGGAACGTAGTGTTTGCTTTTAAATGTTCTTGTTGTTTGCACCTGGGACCAGGGGCGGCTCAATCCATTACGCAAAGTAAGAATTTGCAGTATAGTTGATTTTGCCCAGGGGTGCTCTTGAGGTGCTCTTAGGGGAAAATAGACCTTGACATATGCGAGTTGTAGTTACTGGGATGTATAGTTCACCTACAATCAAAGAGCATTCTGAACTCCACCAATGATGGAATTGAACCAAATATGGCACACAGAACTCCCACGACGAACAGAAAATATATATCAGTGATTGGTTGGGGGAGGGGGCGCCAAAATACTGTTTGCTTACCGTTGAAAATTACCTAGGGCCGCCTCTGCCTGAGTCAGAGTGCTCCCACCAATCCACTGTGCTTTAATACCACAGATTTTTTTTTTTGGTCATGTCAGGAGCAACTTGAGAAACTGCAAGTTGCTTCTGGTGTGAGAGAATTGGCAGTCAGCAAGGACGTTGCCCAGGGGATGTCTGGATGAATTGATGTTTTTATCATCCTTGTGGGAGGCTTCTCTCATGTCCCGCATGAGGAGCTGGAGCTGATAGAGGGAGCTCATCCGGCTTTTCCATGGATTCGAACCTGCGACCTATCAGTGTTCAGTCCTGCCAGCACAGGGGTTTACCCCACTGCACCACTGAGGGCTCCAAATGCAACAGATGGAACAAAACATGAAAACTGTCCTGAACTACTATACGCTGTATTATTTCTTACTTTGCCATCATAAATCATTATGTTAGTCAGCAAAAGTCTGAATTCTGTACTAGCCACATGGTGACCAAAATATTTCCAAATCTCACTTTTTCTCTGGTGCAATAACCTGGCCAGTGTAATTCATGGATTGAGACAGAAAGCCAGCCAGCCACCTTCCTGTAGTTGGACACACAGTGAAAAGCATCATCTGTGTAGGACCACCCAGAATAGAGGTCCATTGGAGGAATACTGAATGTCCAGCTCTGGAGAAGTAGCTGGACGCTTCTCTGACATTCCCCTATGACCACCACCACTCTGTGCCAACAAGGAAATGGCTAGCGAAAATGGAGACTGCAGCAAAGAAAAGGGGGGAGTTAGACAGAAAATATAACATTGTTATCCAATTTGTGCTATGTCTCCCAATCCAGGATCTCAGCCATGGTCTGTCCCCTGAAGAGAGCTCTTCGTTTTGTAGTAATGTTCTATGCAATTTAAAGTAAACAGAGTAAATATTCAACAAGTAAGGAGGGAACATATTATAGACAAGAGAGTAAATTTGTCTCTTTCTCATCTAGAGAGCCGGGGAAGACGGCCACCACCACCATCACCACCACCAGAAATATTAGAGGAGTTTGCTGTGGTCAGGAATTCATGTGGAAAGAGACATAAGAAGCGGAGTTTCCTAAGACCTAGGATTATAGGTGGTTCTTCTGCTTTGCCAGGCTCCCATCCATGGCTGGCTGCTATATATATTGGCCAAGAGTTCTGTGCTGGAAGCCTTATTCGTTCTTGTTGGGTTCTGACAGCTGCACATTGTTTCGCTAGTAGGTAAAGCCTTGTTTGGTATTGTATGAAATCAATTTTGTTTTTATCACTTAGGAAATATGTATGAAGTTATGCAAAAGTACTCCTTGCCAGTGCTGTCTTATAAAAGTAGACTAATTTTAAAAAATACAAGATTTGATGAGCTAATAAAAGGAAAATGCCATGTGCCYTTTTTCATTTGCACCACATTCCCATCCTAATTGTAGAGCAGGAGATGGCATAGGGTACTGTCGCCATGGCTGGGTTTGGCGGGGGGGGGGGTGTTGTTTTTTGCAGGCCTTGACCCCTCCAGARTTTTCTGTGAAAAAAATTGGGAGTTTGTTTGGATGTCCACAAGGWTTTTAYGGAGTCCCAGTAACAGGAAACCGGGCCCTGGTTCCATCATWATTGTCTCCCTCCCCACTGTTGAGGAAGAGGCTCTTCTTCCATGGACAAGAGGAATGCCAAGCAGGCACGAGAACATGTAGCCTATCCTTTCTTCACCAATTTGCTCATCTTCCATAGTCATCATCATATTTGACCACTTATGGCCAAGTTTGATTGTCTTCCAAGGATGGGTCTTGGCAATGGGTCCATAAGTTACTGTAAAACCTATTCTGGATCAACATAGTCTTTCATAATGAGGACATCGATTTCCAGCTGGAAAGTGGTTATAACAAGGGTTTACTTGGTATGCTTTCCTCTTGGCATGTTTCTCCCTTACGCCCTCTATTCATGTTTCTTCAAAATTCATAGCACTGTTGATAACAGCTGATCTCCAGTTAGAGCACACAAGGGCCAGAGCTTCCCAGTGATCGGACATTTGGCCGAAGTAGCCAGTCCAGCGAAGCTGATGGCAGAGAATCATCACTTCAGTGCTGGTGGTCTTTGCTTATTTTAGAACACTGATATTTGTCAGGATTTTTCAATGGAAATGCTGATAGAATCTTTCCAGAAGTCAAGAGTGGCCTTTGTAGACAACCACACACATACAGTAGAGTTTGAAGGGCAGTAGCTTTATAAGCAAGCATTTTAGTATCCTTACAAATGTCTCAGTCCTTGAACACTCTCTGCTTCATTTGAAAAAAATGCTGCACTCGCAGAGCTCAGATGGTGTATTTCAGCATTTTGTATAACTTTTGTAGAGAGGTTGCTGCCTAAGTAGTGGAAATTGTCAGTGTTTTCTAGCTTTACACCATGAAGCTGACATTGCACAGGGATTGGTTTTGTCTTCTGATAAAGTAATTGGGATAGGGATTATAAAGCCAAGCAAGCATGCTCTGTCCCTCCTACACCAGTTTGCTCACCCACCAGGAGGAAATTGTTCATATGTATACACACACGAATGGCATATAATTCCTAGCTGATGCTGACTACTAGTTGAGGAGATAAGACCATTTTGCTTTCCTTTTTTCTCAGCCCACTGAAATCGACCATTCGAGTTGTATTGGGACAACATTTTTTAAATAAAACAACAGATGTTACTCAAGAATTTGATGTGGAGAAATACATCCTGTTTCCTGACTACACAGTGTACAAGCCAACTGAAAACGATATTGGTGAGCATTTTTCTTATCTCTTATTCAGATTGGGAATTATTGGATATGGACTATACAGCACCTTCCCAAGTATGTCAGATTTCCATATGGAGATTTGTTCTTTGAGGGGAAATATTTCACTTTCACACTTTCTCATTTTGCCTTGGCAGCAATGAAAATTCAGGCTAAAAGTATTGCCAACATAGCAGTTGACTTTTATGGGGTTGCTCTTAACTAAGGAATTTTATCTTTGGGTTGTTGTAGGTTTTTCCGGGCTATATGGCCATGTTCTGGAGGCAATTTTTCTCCTGACGTTTCGCCTCCAGAACATGGCCATATAGCCCGGAAAAACCTACAACAACCCAGTGATTCCGGCCATGAAAGCCTTCGACAATACAATTTTGTCTTTGGCTAGCTGTCCCCTGCCATGCATTGCTGTGGCCCAGTCTGTGTATATGTGTTGTGTGTGTGTGTGTGTGTGTGTGTATTTATTTATTTATTTATTTACAGTATTTATATTCCGCCCTTCGCACCCTGAAAGGGACTCAGGGCGGATCACAATGTACATGTACATGGCAAACATTCAATGCCATTTTTGACATACAGACAGATAGAAGCCATTCAGCAGTTCTTCCATTTTGGATCCTGGGGGTTGCTCGATTTGGCCACAAGGGGAGCTGTTGCTTCATCCACTGTGACACTGAGCCTTTTTGATCATACCTCCTCCTTGCTCTCCAGCATTTTATCTATATAAATAAAAATGTAATGTTCGTTTGTGGGATTAACATAACTCAAAAACTACTGGGCGAATTGACACCAAATTTGGACACAAGACACCTCACAACCCAATGTATGTCCTTCACTCAAAAAAAAGGATTTTGTCATTTGGGAGTTGTAGTTGCTGGGATTTATAGTTCACCTACAATCAAAGAACATTCTGAACTCCACCAACAATGGAACTGAACCAAACTTGGCACACAGTTCTCCCATGACCAACAGAAAATACTGGGTTTGGTGAGCACTGTCCTTTGGTTTTGGAGTTGTAGTTCACCTACATCCAGAGATCAAATATTTGGGCATATTGAGTGCTTGTGCCAAGCTTGCACCAGATCCATCCTTGTTTGAGTCCACAATGATCTCTGGGTGTAGGTGAACTACAACTCCCAAACTCAAGGTCAATGCTCACCAAACCCTTCCAGTATTTTCTGTTGGTCATGGGAGAACTGTGTGCCAAGTTTGGTTCAATTCCATTGTTGGTGGAGTTCAGAATGTCTAGTCGTGTCCAACTCTGGAGGTGGTGCTCATCTCCATTTCTAAGCCAAAGAGCACTGTTACCTTCCCTCCTAAGCGCTACCTATTGATCTTCTCACATTTGCATGTTTTCGAACTGCTGGGTTGGCAAAACCTGGGGCTAACAACGAGAGCTCACCTCATCCCACGGATTTGAACTGCCTACCTTTTGGTCAGCAAGTTCTGCAGCTTAGCGGTTTAACCCACTGCACCACTGTGTCCCCTTTAAACATTTGAAGCATAATATGAATGTCTTATCTCACCATCTATTCCCAGATCTCTACCCCCAACCCTCCTGTTACTTACATAGTCTCATAAAAATACAGCACTGTCAATTCTATTACTTCTACATTATTCTTATTTTATCCATTACATAAAAATATTGTAATGTACTCATAAATTACTCAAGCACAATCTTTCTTAGACATTTGGTGGTTTCAATTGGCCATTGCTTTTACATATGAAAGTAATAAATGGCTTCCAAGTTTTATCAAATACATATTTCTTCAATTCATCTTTTGCTAATCTTAATCTACACATTAACTTTTGATAGCACTATCATCCATATCCTATTTAGCCAATCCTTTATCGTCAAATTCTGTAACCTTTTTCCAGGTTTTCACTATTTCAAGTCTTGCAGCTCATAACAGAAGCCGTAGAAGGATTTTAATAATCAGGTCCTTATTCTCACTTTTGAATACAGAAATCATTAATAGTGCTCCCCCAAAGTGTATCCCTCTCCCCCCAACTATTTGGCTCATCTATGATGGCACTTCATCCCAGAATCTCCATACTTTGGGGCACATTAGCCACATGTGGCTCCAATCCCCTATTTTCCACACTTCCTTTAATATAGTTTAGAGATTATGCTATTAATTCTATGTAGTTTGAGTGGATATGCATACATTTCCAGAGTTATTTTCTCATCGTTGTGTGGAGATTGCCTTGTAAGCTTGGGCTGGGCTTTAACACAGCAGGTTAAACCACCAAGCTGCAGTAAATCTTGTCAGTTGAACGGCTGCCAGTTTGAAGCCTGAGTCAGGGTAAGCTCCTGGCCTTTAGCCCAGCTTACAGCTACCTAGCGGTTCAAAAGCAAAATGTGAGTTGATACATTAGGTACCGCTTTAAAAGTGGGGGTGTATTCTGAGGCACCCATAAGGAATGCTGGCGATTCAATCAAAAAGATGGAAGTTACAAACAAGCACTTCGGCAAGGAGATGGAGCAACAACACACACCACCACCACAACCCCAGGGCTGGAACCAAGCACAAAAGCCTCCAAGATGCCGAAGCTGGGGGAAAGCTGATATATATATAAAGCCGGCCGAACCAGTTTTAATAGTGTCTTGATGTATTGATGTATTGTCATGGTTGTTATTTTGCTTAATTGGTGATTTGCTTTGTTTATTGTTGTGTTATGTTTTCTATTGTATTGTGTTTTGAGGCTTCGGCCTGTGTAAGCCGCATCGAGTCCTTCGGGAGATGCTAGCGGGGTACAAATAAAGTTAATAATAATAATAATAATATATATATCCTCTATCAATGTATAAATGGGTCTCTTATTTGTGTATAAAACGGCATTAAATGTTTGCCGTATATGTATGTTCTGTGATCCACCCTGAGTCCTCTTCGGGGTGAAGAGGGAAGAATATAAATACTGTAAATAAATAAATAAAATCTGGGTTTCCAAATTGAGTTACATAGTTTCTCTTCCATTTTAACCCCCAAATCTGATTCCCATACTAATCTCGATCAATTTAATGATCTAGGTTTTGTTTATTTATTCATTCATTTATTTACAGTATTTATATTCCGCCCTTCTCACCCCAAAGGGGACTCAGAACGGATCACAATACACATATACATGGCAAACATTCAATGCTGGTTTTGACATACAAGACATACGGACAGATAGAGGCCATTCAGCAGTTCTTCCGCCGGATCCTGGAGGTTGCTTGATTTGGCCACAGGGGGAGCTGTCACTTCGTCCACTATGACTTCTACACTGAAGGGTTTTTAATGAGTTTTTGGGGAAGCTGATTTGGGGGGGAGGGGTTCAGTGTAATAAATATGATATGTGTATTGAATTAAATTGTCTGAAGGTGTATGACTGGAGCCTATATAGCCTGAATATACTATTCTAAGATTGAGGCCTGGAAAACTGCAAAAGGCTGATGAGGAAAAACTGCTAAACTGCTGAACTACTGACATGACTAGAGACAATGATCAACTGTGGTTGAAAACAACATGTTTACACAGTCAACACAATGGTTCTTTTAAGTTAAGAAGGAAAACCAATATCAATTAAGGGGGGGGGGGAGCCAACATCTGGTGGAGAATAAGCATGTTTTCACTGAAAAACAACCTGTCATTTATTTATTTATTTAATTACTACATTCAGATGCCCTTCTCACCCCAAAGGGGACTCAGAGCGGCTTACAAGATATATATATACATACAATATATTATATTATTAGCATAGTACAATATCATTATTACATATCAATATTAAATATTACTGTATTGTACTATACCATTATATTGTAATATTATTAGTAATATTACATGTAATATAAATATAATTATAATATTGTATTATTATTAGTATTATATTATATTATATGTATATACAATATATTATATTATATTAGCATAGCACAGGAGACAAGGTGCAACTGTCTCCTGGCCCCCCCTCTCTTCACTCTGGCGCAGAGCAGCAATTGATGCTGGGGGGGGCTCTTTTACAACTTTGGGGGGGGGGGGAAACAACAGCAAGAAATATGCTATATAGGAGACCTTTTTACTATCCAAAAGTGTGGCAGACAGGAAGAGTCTATACACTCACCTCCTTCTCCAAGGGATGGAGAAGATGGTGTATCACAGAATGGAAGATTTGCAGGGAAAGCAAATAGGCCTACATTCAGTTCTTTTCTCCAGGATAAGGAAGAAGGGATGGTAATGTATGCATGATGAATGAATGTGTGTATGTGTACAATGTAGTATCCTCTTTGTTTGTGTAATCAATGTAGTTATATATAGAGTCTGTGAGTCTACTTAATTCTCATGTACTCTGATATACTCTGTCTCACTGTGAATGGAATAAAAGAACATTGTTAATGTTTTAAAAGTATTTATGACATCATACTCACAAAAGAAGGGTCCAGGGCTTGTATGATTTGTCACTGCAATTTCCCCAGTCCTGATATAGCTGCCTTTGTGCTTCTCTCTCTCTCTCTCTCTCTCTCTCTCTCTCTCTCAGCTTTAATTAAACTGAAGAAATCCAAGCAACGTTGTTCAGTTAAGTCCCAGTTTGTCCAACAAATCTGTCTCCCAGAAAAGGGAATGTCATTCCCAGATAATTACAAATGCCAAATTGCTGGATGGGGACACTTGCATCAAAGTAAGTTAGACAACATTTTTTTTGTTATGTTTGTTATTGTGGAACTAATGAGAGACATAAACATAGAGTCTAACTGGACATTAGAGCAATCATAATTAGCTACATACATTGCATTGCGTCTTTATATTGCTGATTGTTGTTCATTCGTTCAGTCGTTTCCGACTCTTCGTGACCTCATGGACCAGCCCATGCCAGAGCTCCCTGTCGGCCGTCACCACCCCAGCTCCTTCAAGGTCAATCCAGTCACTTCAAGGATGCCATCCATCCATCTTGCCCTTGGTCGGCCCCTCTTCCTTTTTCCTTCCATTTCCCCCAGCATCATTGTCTTCTCTAAGCTTTCCTTTCTTCTCATGATGTGGCCAAAGTACTTCATCTTTGCCTCTACTATTCCCTCCAATGAGCATCGTTCAGGAGAGAATGCCTCTAGAACATGGCCATAAGCCCGAAAACCTACACAACCCAGTGATTCCAGGCCATGAAAGCCTTGACAATACATACTTCATCTTTGCCTCTAATATCCTTCCCTCCAATGAGCAGGCTTTATTTCCTGAAGTATGGACTGGTTGGATCTTCTGGCAGTCCAAGGCACTCTCGAATTTTCCTCCAGGACCACAGTTCAAAAGCATCTATCTTCCTTCGCTCAGCCTTCCATATGGTGCAGTTCTCACATCCGTAGGTGACTATGGGGAATAACATTGCTTTCACGTTGCCTCTATTTCCCAGTTGTCAATCATTCTTGTTGCCATAATTTTGGTTTAGCTACAACCCAGCTTTTGCGTTTTCTTCTTTAACCTTGATTAGAAGATTCCTTAGCTCCTCCTCACTTTCGGCCATCAAAGTGGTGTCATCTGCATATCTAAGGTTGTTAATGTATCTTAAATCTCCATTGTGTCTCCTGCTAAGAGAGAGGTAATATGCCTATCACATCTACACTGACCATTCACTGCAGTTAAAGACATCTATATATATAACACATGCCATGAAAGAACACCACAGCACACTTTAAAAAAACCTGCATTCACTGCAGTTGTCAAACTACAGATACTGCAGCTCCTAGAAAAAGTTCAAGGCCAGCCCCTGCAGTGCATGTAAGGACCCTCTGACCCCTGATTCAATTTCAGAATTTCTAATGTAATCATCAGCAGAATGAAACCGCTTCTTTATGCTGCTTTCACTCCGGATCATTGAGACTAAAAATGTATGATTTTTTTTAAAAAGAGGAGTGCCAGACACTGTATAACAGAAATTCAGTGTGATAACATAGCAAACTCTTTATTTGTTTTGTTTTGGATACTACAATTAATTTATTGGAATGTATGAGGCAGAAATACAAATATAGAAAGGAAATCCAGTGAAGAATTAAGAAAGGAATGAGCTAAAATGGCTAGTAAGTAAAATATTTAATAAAACAAACATATTAGTTGGACGTGATCTTAAATCCAAATAACAGCCTCAGCAGAGACTGATTTAGCCATACATGTCTTTTCACACTGTTTGCCAGAAGTATAAAAGTATAAAGGCAAAATTATCTCCTACGTTTTGAGGGAGGCACTTAATCCAGATGTGGTTTCAGAGATCTGGTGCATGTGTGTATTGTCTTCCATCTTTCACCCAGTTTGGATGGTGCCTGTGTAGGCACTCCAGTCAAACCAGATTTCTTAAATTCTGATCCAGATTAAATGGCTGTATGGAAGGGCCCTTAGATGCATTTATAGTATTATACTCTTTGGTAAATACTTGCCGGGTAAATCAATCCTGGTATAGACAAAATGAATTGTTGATTATATGTTTTGTTTCAACAGATTCATCCAACTACTCTCATGTACTTCAAGAAACCTCTGTTCCAATAATCCCTGATTACAAGTGTCAAAATTATGAAGTTTATGGAGCTGATATTAGTGAAAATATGTTCTGTGCTGGTTTCCTTGATGGCAGATCAGATGCCTGCCAGGTAACATTATTGAGTTTCTGCTTTCTGATATTAATGGGAGGGGCAGTGGGAGCCAGCACCACAGAGGATGTGGGGAGTGTTGGAAGACCAGGCAGCAGCGAGAGGAGGCCAGTAACAGGCACCCCTTCTTTGCCTCTGCGAACAGGGAGCAGAAACTGCTGCACCCCTTTCAAGGGATAATATTGACATTTAATCACCTTATTAAGGGCAGATCAGAGCTATAGTCTCCTTGGAAGGGAATGAGAGCAGCGTCAACATCAATATTGGAGACTGAGTCTGTAGGACCACCCCCTCTAAATCTCTTTTATCCAGCAAGACTTGAGGGTGATAACTAATTAGTCAGGATCTCTGGTAATATAATTGGCCAGGTGGCAGATTGCTGGATTCAGCCTTGCCCTGATCATTCACTATAAGGATCAGGTATACAAAAAAGGATCAGGAGTACGGTAATGCATTTGTGTGATGGCGAGACAACAAAAAGGGCAAATTGTGCCCTGTCTGGACCATTAAGGAGTTTTTGGATTGCATGGGGCCAGGCACAGCCCTACTGTTTTGCGCCAGGATGGTACACCATTCACCTAGTTCATGGCAGTGTTCAGACTGGCATTAAAACATATGGACCTACCTATAGAGGAGTTTGTGGACCATTCATTTGGAATGGAAACAGCTAAGGCAGCTGAAGGAGGCTTGCCAATGGGAATGATTAAGATGATGGGAAGGTGGAAGTTTAAGGCTGGGAACCTCTTTAATTTCATACAAGTTTTTTTCTTTTTCTTTTATTTGCTAAATTTGATTGCTTTGTTTATAAAAAAAGCTCTTGAGCTTACAACATTATTGAAATCACTACCCCTTAGTCCTTTTAGCGGAAAAGGCAATGTGGGATCACTGTATGTCCCAATGGGGACATAGAGTCATACAAAATGTCATAATTCATAGTGTGGGTGTATAATTTTTGATAAAAGATTGGTGAAATAAAAACAGTAAGAATGATTGATGAAATTAAAACAGTGAGTATGACGAGGAAAATATAATGGCAATATAGGCAGTCCCCAAGTTACACAAGATAGGTTCTGTAGGTTTGGTCTTAAGTTGAATTTGTATGTAAGTCAGTACACGTACATTTTCTAAGTGTGGCCCCCCCCCTCCCCCCCCTCTCTCTCTCTCTCTCTCTCTCTCTCTATATATATATATATATATATATATATATCAGCTTTGGATAGCATAAGGAAGGGTTAACACCTCTGTGGAGGTTTTTGTTGTTATTGCTGTCTGTGTCTATTTTCAGAGGATTTCATTTCACTTTCCTGTGAGAATTGAATTTTGAAAAAAAATTGGCTTGTTGTGAAGTTAAGGATTGGATAAAGCTTCAATTGAGACACCCTTTTCTCCTTGATAACTCTTCCAGGTGTGAATTTTCCTTTTTAGGGGTAGATTTCTCTCACTTCCTGTTGTCTCACCCCCGTTTGTAACTGCTGTTTGTTTGTAAGTCAGATGTTTGTAACTCAGAGTCTGCCTGTTTATGGAAAATTGTTGAAATACAGTAAGATCAATCTAGATCAATTTAGTTTAAAAGACAAAACTGGGGTGGGGGTGTGTGTGAATATTTAGATGGTGTATAAAAGATGAAAGTACAGACCGTCTTGCCTTGCCGGGGAGGATAGAGAGAAGTCAGTTGTGTTTTGGGGATTGTTTTAGTACTGTTCTGGTTATTTTAGCATTTGTATTATTTCGTCTTTTAATTTCCACTTGGGGAATTTAATTGTATGTTTTTGTAAATTTAATAAAAAGAAAAGAAAAAATCCCACTGTTAAAATTTGTTGTATTAAGGAGGTGCCTTTGAGTGGGGAGTCTCCAACCAGTGGAAGCTGGCTTAATTTCCACCCTGCAAAATCCCTTATGTGCAGGATATATGTAACCAAGCAATATTTTTACAATTTTATTGAAAATATCAAATACAATAATTGCTGCTAAATTTCACATTATTTCTGTATCTTTGGAACAGGGAGATTCTGGAGGACCACTTGCTTGTGCAAAGGATGGAATTTCTTACCTGTACGGTATTATTAGTTGGGGCGATGGCTGTGGCAAAGTCGGAAAGCCTGGGGTTTATACAAAAGTCACCAATTATGTGGACTGGATAAATGAGAAGATAAGCCCTGCTCCAAGGAAGACAACTAGCTCTTGACTGTGATTATGTATTTTATGTTTTGCTAACACTATGAAGTAATGTCAAAAATAACTGTTTATAATGCTAAGAGTTCTTATTAAAAAGCAAAATGCTATTTTAAAAAATCATCTATGTTTTTCTGTTACTTCCACAATTGATGCGTTTTCCTGATGCCAATGTTCATCCTGTAAATATTGTGATGTTCTTTCACTTTGAAGCCAGTCGTATGTCTTGAGTTCCTACAGCATTGGAAAAATGACAGATAAAAGTTCTTCATCTGTGTAGACAACCGCAATGTTTTCTTTAAATTTCTGAATGACAGGCAGATCACAAAATGCACATTTTAAAACAGTCCTGCTTGGGCTCGGATGAGAAATCTTTCTTCCTAGACTAAATCCCAGAGTACTCATGTGCTCGTCTTTGAGCACACAAACAGAAGTGATTTTTCAGCTGTCCGGGACTTGAAAAATAAATCCACAAAGTAAGCCTAGATTTTATTTTGACAAATAACCAATTGTCCAGATGGCTCACATCCTATATTGATTAGATTTTTCATTTAAATATATTCACAATACAATTTTGATTTAACTAGAAGGAACTGGCAAACCTAGGTATGCAGTATTTCTGGAAAATAGATAAATGTAGTTTCTTCGGAAGCATTTCAAAAGCAATTAAACATTGGCTTTAGAAATCATTTTCTCCAATAGATTCATCATTCTCTCTTGTAACTGCAGACTCTGGACTTGGATAATGTTCTGCTGATCCAGAATCCTTCTCACTTCTCGGCAGGTTTCTTCCATAGCCCGGCTCAGCTTCTTTTGTTCCTCCAACATGGCTTCCATTAACTTTAGCTTCTTCTTTTGAAAGCTACAGTTTTGCATTTTCCTTTTCTTTACTGGCCTCTCTTCAGTTCTGAAATGTAAATGTTTCAATATTAAATCTGGGGGGTTTTGGATGCTATTTTCAGAAGGCAAAACATGTCTTGGGTAGGGTTGTCAAATCACTTGGATAACAAGGTTTTATCTAAATTCTTTGCATGTTACTTATGTTCCCTCTTAGATCATTGTTTGCCCCAAATTTATTTATTTATTTACAATATTTATATCCTGCCCTTCTCATCCCAAAGGAGACTCAGAGCGGCTTACAGAACACACATACAGCAAACATTCAATGTCGATTATACAATTAACAAAGACAGACAACAGTAAAAAGAGGTAGAGGCAGTTTTTCCCATCTCATTTCTGGCATCTTGGAGGCTGTGTTAGATTCTGGCCATGAGTTACTCCATCTTCCATGCCGAGGAGCTTTCCTTTGATCAGTGTCCTTAAGGGTGCCATTATTAAATCCCCGCTAAAAGAGGTACCTATTTATTTACTCACATTTCTGCTTTTGACCTGCTAGATGGACAGGTGAGCTGGGGCTAGCAGCAGGTGCTCACCCCGACCCAGGCTCGAACTACTGACCTTCCAATTGGCAGGATTTTTCTGCAGCATGGTGGTTTAGCCTGTCATGCTAAGTTCAGCCCCAAATGCCAAACTAATTTTATTAGCTTTCCAAATATGTAACTTAAATCAAAAGAATGTAAAAAATAAAAAGCAGAGACACCAAAAAAAAGAGTAGAACAAAAGAATCAAACTCAAAATGACCCTATATTATTCCCACTCCATTACTTTTCTTCACCTGCCAACTAAAATTAAAAAAAACACTAACCCCCTTTTCATAATAATAATAATAATAATAATAATAATAATAATAATAATAATAAAAGTGCAACTGACTTTGCCCTCCTTCAAGCAAAGGCAACTATCAAATTACTGTGTTATACTTCTTGTTTCTACATAATTGCATTTCAACTTCTGGTAAAAACAAACAAATCTATTTTAAATTAACACATAACCACAATTTAACAATTTTGATTCAAGTTCAATTTGTTGTAATTTTATCTTTAATCATCACCTTGATATTGCCCCAAATATTTTCCCATTCAATTTAAATTAATCTGATATGGCATATTATTGTATTTCAGCAATAAATATATGTGCAATATTGTTTTCCAAATGTGGAACGTGGGATGTAAGCCTCTTTGGGTCTCTTTTGTAGAGAGAGAAAGTGGGCTACAAATAAAGATAAAGATAAAGATAAAGATAAACATAATAATAATAATAATAATAATAATAATAATAATAATAATAATAATGGTGAAGAAGAGGCATTCAACACCAATCTGTGCACTAGGCTTATGACTTGCTCCACCTTGGACATTTTCTTACTGACCCTCCTAACCTCTGGTTTTAGTGCACCAAAATCACACCTCCATATTGGTAGACCTACCAACATTGCACAATTGCCACCAAAATGGAAACAATTCAAGGAAACTGAGATCCTTCGTTGACCCTCCAAGCAATTCATAATTCATTGTCCTTTAAAATAGATCCCAAAATGTAATGTTCCAGAAGTATCTGACTGAACTTGAAGCTCCTGGACACACTCCCAATGGCCCTACCAGAATGGAGACCTCATCATATCCATCTGGGCAAGAAAAATACGATAGAGCTTCTCTGCCCCTCCTTTGCTCATGGTTCAATGCTATTCCAGCATTTTCCATACATATAAGTTGACCAAAGTTTTTGAAGGTAATTTTTTGGTCAGACATTTGTCGATTTATACACAAATACAATATATACATTTCTCGACACAGCTTATGGTACACATTCCAAGTTAGGTTTCTAGTTGTGGATTTGTGATCAAAATAAGTGAAATCTTATTACAATCCGACTGACATCCAGCCACGCAAGGACTAGCTGATAGTGCCATCACTAAAATCTCCAGGTTGTAGAAGAACTGGAACATGACACACTCTAAAATACTCAAAAATCCAAAATTACCCATATCAGTGATTTACTGACATCTTTCTTTCCTTGTGGTTTAATGCACACACACCTTGTTTCATGCCCAAAATTATTCTTGAAATGTTGTGTATAAATTACTGTTAGGCTATGTATATAAAGTGTATATGAAACAATAATGAATTCAACGTTTGGATTTGGGTTCCATCTCCAAGAAATTTCATTGTGTGTTTGTGCGTATTTGTGCATGCATTCAAGCTGCCTGTTTACTTATGGTGACCCCAAGAATTTCACCCTTCCTGTCCAGGAAATCTCTCAGTGTGGAGGTGAAGGTCTCTGGGTTTATCTGGTTACATTTTGGTAAAGAAGTTTATACATTTTACTTATATAGGAAATAGATACAATATACAGAAAGATACAAGTTATATAGAAAGTCATGCAGAATAGATACAATTTATTAAAGGGTTAGATATGATAGCTAGGACAGAGATCCTCAAACTTTTTAAACAGAGGGCCAGGTCACAGTCCCTCAAACTGTTGGAGGGCCAGATTATAATTTGAAAAAAAAAAAAAACCATGAATGAATTCCTATGCACACTACACATATCTTATTTGTAGTGCAAAAAACACTTTAAAACAATACAATAATTAAAATAATTAATAATTAGTATTTCAATGGGAAGCYTGGGCRTGCTTTTGGCTGATGAGATAGGATTGTTGTTGTTGTTGTTGTTGTTGTTGTGTGCTTTCAAGTCATTTCAGACTTAGGTTGARTCTGYGTGAGAGCCAGGTAAATGACCTTGGAGGGCTGTATCCAGCCCACGGGCCTTAGTTTGGGGACCCCTGGACTAGGAGTTTGTGGCTGCTGCTGGTTCGATCTTGATTTTCTGATGATATGAACTTGCACAAATCTGGAGTCTTTTTTTAAAAAGGGAAAAGTCATATATTTATTTCTAAGCCCTTAAGGTGAAGGTAAAGATTTCCCTTGACATTAAGTCTAGTCATGTCCGACTCTGGGGGGTGGTGTTCATTTCCATTCTAAGCTGAAGAGCCGGTGTTCTCCGTAGACACCTCCAAGGTCATGTGACCAGCATGACGGCATGGAGCGCCATTACCTTCCCACAGAAGCAGTGCCTATTTATCTACTGTCATTTGCATGTTTTTGAACTACTAGGTTGGCAGAAGCTGGGCCAACGGTGGGAGCTCATCCTGTTCTCCGGATTCAAACCACCAACCTTTCAGTCAACAAGTTCAGCAGCTCAGCAGTTTAACTCGCTACGACACCAGGGGGCCCTTGGTGAACTATAAACCTTTGGGCAAGCTCGATAACACTAGGGCTATACTTGTGGATGTATTGAAGGTAATTCATGTCTCAGTAACACCAGGACTATATTTGTGGATGTACTGAAGGTAATTCACCATCATATAAGGTAATGGACATGATACAAAATGGAAGAGAGAGCAAAGGAAGCACTTCTTTGTGGAATCAAATACCTAACCAACCCATAGAAGGGGAACTCTATCTTATCTCTCACTGTAAATGGAAACAGTTCCAGAAGCTCAGAAAATGCCATGTATAATTGTTCAGATTGCAACCTTTTATTTATACTGATAATTGCACTTTAACTTTTGATGTAAATTATTCACAGCTGAAGAAAATAGAAAGGAATCCCTAAAGTCCCTAAATTAATAGATTCTTCACCAAGCAGACATTTGCAGTTTATAGTATACACTATATAGGGCCAAATAAATACACTAACGCATGCTAGTATAGTAAAATATAATGTTACCTTAACTTATATGAGAGCAAGCTGGAGGAGCTCTCCGAATGCTCATCTTCGAAAAATTCTTCTCTCCCTTCGTATGTGAACTGGTTATATGGCAAATAGAGAGGCGTAGACTTGGCAGATGGTGACTGTGATGCCTCAGTTTGTGATGCTGAAGGACCAGGTTGCTGAGTATCATGCATTTTCACATCATTGTGCTCTGATACTTTAGATAATATTCTGTCAATTGTTTTAAAATAGGGCCAATCAGGTGCAAGGGTTTCACTATCGGTCATGCATTTTAATTTCCTGCGATAAAAGAAATAAATCATATGTGAAAACAGATATTTCAGCAAACATATTCAGGAACAGCCATCTTGGCCATATAGAAAAATAAAACAAAATTAAAAATCCATAAGCGAGCTTGAAAATTTTACTATGTTTTGTGCATTTTGGTTGAACAATAAGCCGCTCCGAGTCCCCATCAGGGAGATGGTGGCGGGGTATAAATAAAGTTTATTATTATTATTATTATTATTATTTCTCTATCTGTCTATATATATAAATATATATACACACACACAATTACAATAATTTCAAGCAGTTTTCAAAACTTCTGCTACAGGTTTAATGGTTCTTATCCAAATGCTTGGGATCGGAAATGTTCTCAATGTGGGTTGTTTTTTCTTTCCAAATTTTGGAATACTTACATATACATAACAGGACATCATGAAGCTAAGAATCAAGTCTAAATGCAAAATTCATTTGTTTCATATGTATGTTATGCACATAGCCTGGAGGTAATTTTATACACAATATGTCTAATAATTTTGTGCATGAAACAAAGTGTGTGTACATCGAACCATCAGAAAGAAAAGGTGTTACAATCTCAGCACTCATGGGGACAATTTTGAATTTTGGAGTATTTGAAGTATTTCAAATTTAAGAATTCCTGAAAAGGGATGCTCAACCTGCAGAAAGTACATAAAAATAAAGTAAACTTCTAAAATAAGAGGAAAAACAGTTTGGAGTTCATCATTTTAATTATATAACTTTTATCAAGTACTTGCTTTTATACCAGAAATTGTACAATAATTCAAAACTGATATATTAGTAGAAAAATCATCCCAATAATAAATATTTCACAAATTTATTATGGATAATATTTGACCAGAAGAAGCTAGAGTGACGTGGAGATTTGAGTGCTTCAATAGGACTCCAGGAGACCAGGCAGTGGGGAAGCCATCACTGCCATGAAGTGCCGTGGCCGCCAGACAGAAGATCAAAACATCACCAAGGGTAAGCTTTGAGCCTGCTGTCCAAGCTGTCCTGGTTTCAGACACTTCCCTGTCGGCCCTGCCTCTCTACACTGAACAGGATGAACCCTTTGTCCAAGAGGAAGGCTTGACCCTGAAGGAAGAATGGTGGAGGGATGAAAGACTGGATCCTGTCCATAGACACCCTGATGAGGGAGGCAGCCCATCACCTCCATGGCAACACCCACTGGGCCCACAATGCCATCCTAAAGACTATTTTCTCAGACAACACATGGCATAGTAGTCCATTTAAGGGCTACCTCATATACCAAAAGAATGAAGAAAAACCCCAAGCACAAGATCCAGAAGACACAGCAGGGACAGGTGCAGGCAGGCATAGAGCTCGGCCAGGTATGGCAAGTGGGTTTTGCAGAGTGGGAGGCTTGTGTTCATTGATTGCTATAAAGCAGTCATTTCCAACCTTTTGCCCTCAAGGTGTTTTGGACTCAGCTTCCACAATTCCTAACAGCAAGTAAACTGACCGGGGGTTCTGGGAGTTGAAGTCCAAAACAACTGGAGGACCAAAGGGTGGGAATGACTCTATACAGAATGGCTGAGGTTTCTGCCCACATCACTTGCAAGGCAAAGGAGGGCAACATTGCGCTCCTCAAACACATCATTCCATGTTTTAATTTACAAGGTTACATCTCCTCAGACAACAAGTCTGATCCACTGCAAGAACCATTACGAAAGCATCCCAAGCCCTGCAGATCAGATGGAGGCTACATTCTAGTTGGAACACCCAGTCAAGCAAGAAAGTTGGGAAAATGAACCAGACTTTGCAACTGCATCTCTCCAGGTCTGGCTTAAGTTGTGCCAGCTGACCCACCTCAAATGGCCCAGAGAGGAATTAAAAGTTAGTTCTTTTGAGCTCTTATTTTGGAAGGCCCTTAACTACTTCTCCAGACCACTTAAATCTGAATAGGTGGGATCTAGGTGGGGAAAGAGGCAATTAATACTATCTTTTTTCCACAGGTTTCTGCTGCCCAAGAATCCTATGCGCACTCTCTTATTTTCCCTGATAGTTTCCCTTTTCTTAAAAAAATTAAAATGAAGAAACTTTTCAACTCCATGGCTGCACCAAGCCTCTAATATAATTTCTCCCTCCTGATGTAATGTTTCCTTTTCTTACAATGCAATAACATTTTGCAGAACTTCCCACTCATGAATGGTTTTACCTCATTACGCCTCCCACTTGTAGGTAAAACACAATTTTTTTGGTCGTGTCAGGAGCAACCGCTCCTGTTGTGAGAGAATTGGCCGTCTGCAAGGACGTTGCCCAGGGGACGCCTGGATGATTTTGATGTTTTATCATCCTTGTGGGAGGCTTCTCTCATGTCCCCGCATGAGGAGCTGGAGCTGATAGAGGGAGCTCATCCGCCTCTCCCCGGATTTGAACCTGCGACCTGTCAGTCTTCAGTCCTACCGGCACAGTGCTTTAACCCACTGCGCCACCGGGGGCTCCTTTGTCGTGTCAGGGGTGACTCCTGGTGTGAGAGAATTGGCCGTCTGCAAGGACGTTGCCCAGGGGACACCTGGATGATTTTGATGTTTTTATCATCCTTGTGGGAGGCTTCTCTCATGTCCCCGCATGAGGAGCTGGAGCTGATAGAGGGAGCTCATCCGCCTCTCCCCAGATTTGAACCTGCGACCTGTTGGTCTTCAGTCCTGCCAGCACAGGGCTTTAACCCACTGCGCCACCGGGGGCTCCTGGGTAAAACACAATAGGAAAGTCTTTAAATTGGACTTTTTAATTAATAGTTTCAATGTATATACAAATAGTGCTCCGGTACTTTAAAAATCTAGAAGTACAGAGGTACACAGTGGAGTTGTGTGCAGAATTAGTTTCTCCTGTTTCCTTCATTTCTTTCTTATCTTTCGTTTCTTCAGGAGCACAGAACAGGAAGACTCCTCCCTGAACAAAAATCTCCTCAACACGAAAGCAAGCAGGAACAGGTCCTGGCTCCTGGCCTGCTTTTTGGCATCACAGACTCTAGAGTAAAAGGCGCTTGGCTGCAGGCACTGGCAGGCACAGGCACTTTCTGTGCCTGCACGCCACACACACACACACACAGACATACCCACACACACACACTCTTTCCAAGGAGAGTGCATGTGTGGCGTGCAGGTGCACTTGTGTCTGCTAGTGCCTGCAGCTGAGTGCCTTTTACTCTAGAGTAAGAGGCGCTCAGCTGCAGGCACTGGCAGGTGCGGGCTCTCAGGGCCTGCACACTACACACACAGTGTCCTTGGAAAGACAGTGTGTGTGATGTGCAGGCCCAGAAAGCACCCCACTTGCCAGTGCCTACAGCCAAGTATCTCCTCTAGAGTAGAAACAGCAGGTAAGAAGAAGCCTCCTTAAAGAGCATGCTGGGAAGGGGAGCCTGGGTGGGAATCCTCCCTCATAATTGGTCCAATAGAAAACAAATCTTTCGGCACCAAAAAGCAAAAACAGGTATCTGCCCTCCCAATTTCAGGAGGCCCACAAAAAACGGATCGGGGGCCCCACCAAAAGCTGGGACTCTAAGATTTATGCCAAATGTACAACCCTAGTACATTTGGGGTAAATCCTCCAGAGCGCCAAAATTCTCATATAAAAACAAAACAAAAACAAGAGGGTATGTGGGGAGAAGCACAGATTGGGAGGACTTGTTTCCCTGCAGGTGCTCTGGCCAGAGTGGTCCATGCCTTGGTCACCTCTAGGGTGGATTACTGTAATGCGCTCTACGTGGGGCTGCCCTTGAAAATGGCTCGGAAATTCCAACTGGTCCAACGAGCAGCAGCCAGGATGTTAACTGGGCTCCTTACAGAGAGAGGTCAACCCTCCTGTTCAAGGAGCTCCACTGGCTGCCGTTTATCTTCCGAGCCCAATTTAAGGTGCAGGTGCTTACCTACAAAGCCCTGAACGGTTTGGGACCAGCCTACCTGCGTGATCGCATCTCCGTCTACGAACCCACACGCTCTCTTCGTTCATCTGGAGAGGCCCTGCTCGTGATCCCACCTGCGTCGCAAGCGCGTTTGGTGGGGACACGAGACAGGGCCTTTTCCGTGGTGGCCCCCCGACTCTGAAACACCCTCCCCAAAGATCTTAGACAGGCCCCTACATTGGCAGCCTTCAGAAAGAACTTGAAGACCTGGCTGTTCCGATGTGCCTTTCCCGAATAGGAAACCTCCAATACCAAGTCCCACAAGCACTTTATTAAAGCCAAGACCGCCGCACACCGCACTTGCCCATAAACCTCATTTCCACCTGTCACATCAGCACTTTTAACTCTTGTACCCTTACTCTGGCCCGGCCCAGTTTTATTGTGTCTTAGTGGCTTGTTCATTGCTTGTTGTTTTTAGATTGCTTTAATTGTTTTTAATTTGCCTAGGTTTTGTATTGTTGTATTGTGTATTGAGGCCTTGGCCTTTGTAAGCCGCATTGAGTCCTGCGGGAGATGCTAGCGGGGTACAAATAAAAGTTAATAATAATAATAATAATAATAAGAAGAAGAAGAAGAAGAAGAAGAAGAAGAAGAAGGCCAATGCACATTGTGCTTCCTCAAAGCTCTTTCACTAGACTTGGTGTGATAAAAAGAGGGAGTACTCTAGTCTCAAGCAAGACAGGTTTGTGATAACAGAGCTTTAAATGATAACATCCTATGATTCTAAGGAGTCAAATTTCACCCAGAAACTGGACCACCATTCTCCCTTGTCCCCCACAAATTACCACAGAGCCTGGCCCAGAGACTCCTTCCTAGCCATCCCACAAACATACACAAATTCAGGCTACCCATTCAAAATTAGGTTTTAACGGAAAGACTCCAGTATCTAAAAATGAACCGTGAAAACATCTGGAGATCTTTTATGCATGTACTCGTGTTCTTTTTTTAGTTCTATTTTTAAAAAAGATTAAAGTACATAAATCTGAAAGAGCTTTGAGTCATAGTTGCTCAATGGTTCTCCATACTAATTGCTTTTCTTCCCTTAATATCCATTGCTTCTGTTTTCAATTATTAACACGTCTTAGTTGGAAAATTAAACAGAACAAATCTTAAAAAGCATAACAAAAGGTCCAAGTTGTCATTTTCTTTTTTAAAAAAATATTCATGCTTAATAGTGTTTATAACTCACATGTATACATGAAAAGAAAAAAAGGAAGCATGGGAGAATGGGGAAAGTCAAGCAATTCTGCCTATATATGGGAAAATAAACTTACTCTACGACAGCTTATGCTACCAAATTTGTCCTCTTAAGTTAGTCTCAAAGGTGCTATAAGATCCATTTCAACCCTCAGGTATATGTCACTGGTATTCAATCTCTTCCAAGGAATAGATCTTTCTAGATTCATTGACTTGATCAACATCCTTTTTCAGTCATTATAAATTATGTGAAAAATCGGGTGCATCTTTGATACAAAATTATAGAATACTGATACTTTTACAATTGTTAAGTTTCTGTTCTGTTATTTGTAACTCCATGCAGTTCTGAAAAGTCTTTGCCAGGGATCTCTAACTACCAATTCACAGATCCCATAGGAAGCAGACATGGCAATTGCGTTGTAACTGTGCAGTGTAGATGTATAATTCATAAAGTTGTGATCCTATTTATGAATGAAAGTGTGGTGCGGTGATTTGAGTCCTGAACTTTATTGTAGAGACCAAGGTTCAAATTGTGGTTCAGCAATGGATTCTCTCTGGGTGACTTTGGGCAAGTTACACTTTCTTTCCAAATGTTAATTAGCGTTGGACAAATTAAAATTAGAATCATCTGATCCATACTAAATGTGAGGGATAGTCTGTGGTAACTATTATCAGTTTAGTTTTGGACATTAACAGTTTTCAGGACCTCATTAGATATCCTTCCCCAAACTGGTGCTCTCAAAGGTAATTTGAAACCTAAGCACATCATTCCCTTACACCAGAGGTCCTCAAACTAAGGCCTAGGGGCCAGATATGGCCCTCCAAGGTCATTTTCCCGGCCCTCGCTTAGGGTTATCCTAAGTCTGAAACAACTTGAAAGCACACAACAACAACAATCCTATCTCATCAGCCAAAAGCAGGCCCATACTTCCCATTGAAATTGTTCTTCATTTTAATTATTGTATTGTTTTAAAGTGGGGGTTTTTTTTGCACTGCAAATAAGATATGTGCAATGTGCATAGTAATTAATTCCTGTTTTTTTCCAATTTTAATCCGGCCCTCCAACGGTTTGAGGGACTGTGACCTGGCCCTCTGTTTAAAAAGTTTTGGGATCCCTGCCTTACACCTTGGCAAGGAGTAAAAAAAATGCTGACAATTATAGTATTTCAGATATTTGAGGGTAGGTTGCCATTGATCAAATATGATCACGATGTCTTTGCAAATAGATGACGGTCCTGCAAATAGGTTTTGATAGTTGTGTTCGGATAAACGTCTGGAAACATCACATGGTGTTTATACCTGAAAGTGTGTTCTGAAAATATTGTAATGTACTCATTTTAGTATAATTTTCTGCTATGAACAAATTTAAGAGAACAATTTATACATAGTCATGATAATTTGTACATAGCAATACATACAGCCCTAGTTCCTGTAGCCTGGAATACAGGAACAAGGCAAACAGGCAAGGCAAAAAAGATGTTTTGCGTAAGTGTAGTGGAAGAGACTAGGTTTGTGCATTTCGATATGTCTTTATGCTTGCCGGATACCAAAACACCCCCCCATATCCATTTTCACACGTCTCCCGCATATGGAAATGCAGCCCTTTTTAGCCCATTGGCGGCAATTGGGACTTCCCACAGGCCCTCTGTTAATAATAATATCCTTTATTAAGACCTAGATTTTAAAAAGCATCTGAGTTAAGATACCACTCTTTCTGGATTGTTTCCCTTCTATTTTTAGAGGAGATCCAATTTAATGCTTTGTTAAAGCTATTTCTACTCCAGAGGAGAGGCAGGCATATGAACTTTCTCTCCTAGCACCAGCAACATGCCAGGCAGCTTTCTAAGGCATTTTAAGGAGGCCCAGGGAAGGAAGAGCAAACAACCTGACCTGGAGCTCAGTGGAACTATCCTCCCTGGACTACCTTAAAAATCCCCTCTCTCCACTGCCTGCCTGCAATCTCCTTTCTGCTTGGGGTTTTGCTTCCTTAACGATGCTTCTACTTCCTACTCTAGAGGAGAGATAGGCTTCTCTTTTTGTTTGCTGGGATTACTATTATTAATAATTATTATTATATTTTAGAAGTATTTTCTGAAGGAGAGAAAAAGAAGGAGAAAAATAAGAGTTAAAGGGTGACTCTCCAAGCCCCCAAACATACACGCGCACACCCCACCTACCATCCCTCGGGTCCTCAACTCCCAGTCAGTCCCACTAAATAAAAAGAACCAGGAAAATAAAGGAAAATCAAAAAGATTCAACTGTGATGGAGCCATGATTGCCTGCCATGTGGTCCCTTTTTGGATAGGAATTCTGATGGCTGGGCCCTTGCCGTTATGGATCAAACCGAAGAAGCTGGATTGGCCAAAGGGAGTGGCTAAAAACGGATCCAGGCTCAAGCATAAACCAAGCTTTTGTCCCTTGGGCCAAACCTCTCCAGTCCCAGATAATACTTCGGGAGAGTTTGTTGACTAAGGTTGTGTTGTTTGTTTGTTTTTGGTTTTTTTGGGGGGGGGTTCTATTTGTTTATATGTATTGAAGGGATACTTGCTTGCTCATTAGGGTTCTATTCTTCTGATGTGTAGAGCCCCTGGTTATCCGCCTAAGCAACTGGTCCAGGAGGAAGTAGTTTTTGCATAGACAAAGTTACCAATAGCTACAGCATCTGTTCCTGAAGTTTGGCATACAACAACTCAGCAAACAGGGATGAGTTATGTGAGTGTTTAAAAGGGGATTTTGAGAGGGAGGCTCAGAGTTCTGTTCTGTTATTGGTTTAAAATGGCTAAATAGGGGTAGTGAGGGAGCTCATGTAGTCACCTGCAACAGCTATGATATGTTTGTGTTCTTGCCCAAGGATATGAATAGTTATACTTGCAGTAAGTGTAAGTTGATTTCCCTCTTGGAATATGTGGGCATGCAGGCAAAACACACAGGGAATGTCTCTAAGGAGAAGGTCATGTCCCAAACACAGGGGGGTAGATACTTGAAGGGAATTAACAGAGAAGTAGAAGCAACAGGAATCGATTTGCAAGTTTGCAGCTACAGAATCAGTGGCATTCTTAGCATAGCTGTTGTACATATGGCCTTGAACCTGCCCTAATTGTATTTTCAAGATGTTGGATGTAGAAGTTGAATATTCTTTTTAAAAATGTATGTATATGTACCTGTGTGTATGTATTTGAAACCATACCAAGGCCTTGAAACTAAATATTCTCATTATCTGTCTTGTAAGTACTGTACATATTTTTTTCTATTCCACTGTGCGCATATGTAATTTTTTCTATTCCACTGTGCGCATACGTAAAACAAACTAGTGCTTTCCACCAAGATGGAAATTAAGTGCAATTGCATCATTCTAAGAGTATTAGCTGTTCCATGCAAAACACGACTCCTAACTTAAAAGGACATCTTAAAAAGCTCAAACCAGAGAAGTAAATGAAAACTGGGATTTTAAAAGGCTTGCAGAGTTGCATCGACATGTCGCTTTAATAAATATCCTGAGATTTACACGCAGGGATAATGATCTTACAAAAAAACAAAACAGTCTCGCACGGATGGCTGTTATAAATGTGTTTTGTCATTCTTAATTTGTGAAATGAAAACTAAAAATTGGGATCACACGTTTGAGACACATGAATGATAGCTGTGTATTACGAATTGCATGTTTCAGGACAACAAACAGCTAAAAGCAGACCTATTAGCTCATGTCTCACAAAGAAACTGCTTTCAACACCATCATGCTTCCCTTTGCTAAAGCCGCAAACATTTCAGTCTCCTAAGCCAACTTTCAGTTTTGATGGACACTAACTATACTCCATTAGCTCATCTTTGGATACCTTTGTTTCCTCCGCCAGTTAGAGCATTATTTACACTGTGCCGTTTTTCCTTCTGGAAATGCAGTTGTTCGGTTTGCTAATGCTGGGTAGTACAATTATAGCAATGTGTGTCACTCAGTGGTGATGCATACAGTTATTTTAGTCCTCTCAAGTGTAACTCCCTCACTCTGCAAAGGCAAAAAATGTAGATATTTCATTGAAAAATGTTTCATTTGCAGGTATTTTAGTTTTCACGCAGAAAATACTTAGCTGAAGATAGATCTGTGCTGCAGTGGCTTTCCTCGCGAGTGCAAATCAAATAAGATTTTGTGTATATAATATCTGTAAATATATATATACATTTCTATATGCACACAAGACACACTTTACTACAGGGAAGGATTAATCATCACAAAGGTTAAGCTAGCATTTTAAATCAGGAGACTAAACATGAAGAACGGCAACATGCTGAGAGTGCTGAGAGGGATTTTTAAGAGCCTCGCGAGCAGCCTTCAGTCTTTCATCTATGGCTTCCCTTTGCAGGAAAGGCAAGAAGAGCCTGAGCAGTCTCAAGACATCTCTTTCAGAAGAAAAAGGAATTAACCGGCGCTTACCTGTACTGGAATGTCATGTTTGTGATTTTAATCTTTATTTCTTCTCCGTGGCGAATCTCTCCCGTCATTTCAAAGAGTTTGTTGGCCATTTTCTCATAAACTTTGGCATTCCTTTTAGTTTTTTTCAGCTCCTCAAAAAATTCTTCCCAAACCAGCATTAAGCCCCTCATTTCTGCATCAGTCCAGTTCCTGGCCCTCCTGTGCTTCTCAGTCTGAGCAGAAACCAGGTAGTTGGGGATTTCTGCTGCAGCCATGGCTGCTTGACCTAAAAGGGTTTCCAGTCTCCAAGAGGACACTTAATGTCGTTTTTTACTTGGGTTTTTAGGGTTCTGCGGTGCCAGGCAGGCACGGGAAGCCCCAGGATTTGAATGACAACAGAACACATGAAACCTCTTTGCAACAGCTTGAAGCCTGAGTGCACAAAATGGGGCCTACATCTGACAGGCAGGAATTTAGTTAAAAGCTTTTAAACAGAGAAACGTCATTTTGATGTCACGTTGCCATGGCAACAGAGCAACTGCATAAGCTACAACAACAAAAACCTTTTAACTGAAAGCAAAAAGAATCAGGACAAAGTTGACAGGCCATCAATATTAAAGCTTTTAAACACTTTAGGTTGAACAAAAACAACAACAAAAATGATCTATGCAGCCTTTGAGAAGCCGCTTTTAAGTTTTTTTGCTCCTTTTGAGCTTTTTCCTTACCTTGTAGGCAATCTGCTGCAAAACGGGGGAGGCAAAGCCAAGGGGGGGGTGCAGCCTGAATGGGCTTTTAAGTGGCGCCTTGACAGATTCCCTGGGAGGAGGTGGCCAAGGCTCAGGCCCAGCGCACACACAAAGGCCCTCCTGCAACAACTGTCACTAAAAAGTCTTTGTGGAAGCATTGTTAACCTCTGAAGGACGGCTGGCAGAGCAGAAAAGAGTGGAAACCCTAAAATGGTGCCGGGTTCCTGTTCCTGGAGCACGGATCTACACTAGTGCTTGCACACATGTGTGGATGCGAGGGATGTGAGCTTTCTAGTGCTAAGCAAGTTCCTCTGGAGGAATAGGTTTGCCTTTTGTGGGTTCATGTTCTGGCATACATATATTTGCCCTGGGCAAGAGTGTGAGTGCTGCTTGGAGCCTTTTATTCACCCGCCTGCTGCTGCCTTTGGGAGGCATTATTTATTGCCTTGGAGGTGGTGGGAAAAGGGGAAATGGCACTACAATGAAACACTGTAAATACGTTGCTGTATTTCTATGGCAGTGTTCTTCATAGAAAGCTAAATCCCACTCGCTGTTGGACTAATTTCCCCAAAAGCCCATCCAACATGTTCTGCCAGACATGATGGGCTCGGTCCTGTGCTTAAGACCCATGAAATGTATATTCTTTGAAGCAATGCTTGTGGCTAATGGGGGAGGAGAGATTCAGTCTGTATTTGAAAGGTAACCACTATACTTCAAGATAGATGCCACACAGAAGGCAGTGTGTATATGATGATGATGATGATGATGATGATGATGATGATGATCAGGCCTGTAGCGAGCGGGTGGTTTTAGGGGTTCAACCACCCCCCAAATGTTTCAGATTTTTTAAAAAACCTGGTTTACTCATGAATTTTAACTGGTTAACCAAATCCCCATGCTAAGTCTATGAGATGCAAAAAATTAAGAGTTCCTCCAGAACTGTAAGCACTATCTCAAGCAAATATTGACAATTTATTCACACTGTCATTACTTGCAGCAATAGCCGATGTAGCAAAGCAACCAAGTTGGGGGGGGATATTGAATGCTCTCATTAAGGAGGCCAGACTTGGTGGAGGTGGTTGACAGGGGCGGAGCTGCAGGCTATGAAGGCTGCTCTGCCCCCTGCTGTGCTCTTTGCTTCAGCGTGAGCTAGGAGGCAGGTTTCAAACCCCCCCCCCCGAAATTTTCAACCCTCCCCAAAATTTTCAAACCCCCCTGAAATTTTCAACCCCCCCCCCCGAAATTGTCAACCCTCCCCGAAATTTTTTCTGGCTATGGCCCTGATGATGATGATGATGATGATGATGTTTTGGAGCACAATACTCCTGACCTCACAATCGTGATAAAAAACAAAGTATGGATTGTCAATGTTGCAATCCCAGGTGACAGCAGGATTGAAGAGAAACAACTGGAAAAGCTGACACGATATGAGGATTTAAAGATCGAACTGCAAAGACTCTGGCACCAAGGTGGTCCCAGTGGTGATCGGCACACTGGGTGCAGTGCCTAAAGACATTGGCCTGCACTTAAATTCAATTGCCGCTGACAAAATTACCATCTAGCAGACTATCTAGCAGATAGCTAGCAGAGTCCATAGCTAGCTGTGGACTCATCTTATTGTGTTTCAAATAATAATAATAATAATAATAATAATAATAATAATAATAATAACAACGAACTGCAAAGACTCTGGCACAAACCAGTAAAGATGGTCCCAGTGGTGATCGGCACAAAATCAGCACTGACAAAATTACCATCTGCCAGCTGCAAAAGGCCACCTTACTGGGATCTACACGCATTATTCGCCGATACATCACACAGTCCTAAACACTTGGGAAGTGTCCGACGTGTGATCCAATACAACAGCCAGCAGTGTGTCTGCTGTGGACTCATCTTATTGTGTTTCAAATAATAATAATACACTTTAATACATTTATTTATATTCCACTTTATCTCCCAGGAGGGACTCAGGGTGGATTACAGTATACATATAAGGCAAACATTCAATGCCTTTTACACAATGACATTTATTTATTTATTTATTTATTTATTTATTTATTTATTTATTGCAGTTACTTTTACCCTGCCCTTCTCAACCCGCTAGGGGGACTCAGGGTGGCTTACAAAAAAGGCACTATTCGATGCCTACATAGAGTACATATATATATAAAACAACAATCAGTATTTACTACAATTAAACAGTTAACAATAACACAGTCATTAAAAACTAATCACAAACTCAGCGTGCGTTGTCCAGAGTTCCTTAATTCCATTCCGTATGTCAATTCCATTTTAGCGCCACGTCCTTTTTCATTTGCCAGGTTGTCTGAATGCCTGATCCCAAATCCATGTTTTCAGTTTTTTCCTGAAGGAAAGGAGGGATGTCGCTGATCTAATTTCCCCCGGGAGTGAGTTCCACGGGTGAGGGGCCACCACCAAGAAAGCCCTGCTCCTCGTCCCCGCCAATCTCACTTGTGGTAGGGGCGGGGTCATGAGCAGGGCCTCCTCAGAAGATCTCAAATTCCGAGGTGGGACGTAGCGGGAGATCCGTTCGGACAGATACACTGGGCCGGAACCATATAGGGTTTTGTAGGTTAAAACCAGCACTTTGAATTGTGCTCGGAATTGGATCGGCAGCCAGTGGAGCTGACATAACAGGGGGGTGGTATGACGCTCCTGTTAGTACTCTGGCTGCCTCCCGCTGGACTAGTTGGAGTTTCTGAACAGTCTTCAAAGGCAACCCCACGTAGGGTGCATTGCAGTAATCCAATCGGGATGTAACAAGAGCATGGACCACTGTGGCCAGATCTGACCTCCCAAGGTACGGGCGCAGCTGGCGCACAAGTTTTAATTGTGCAAAAGCTCTCCCGGCCACCGCCAAGACCTGGGGTTCCAGGCTCAGCAATGAGTCCAGGATCACTCCCAAGCTGCGAACCTGTGTCTTCAGGGGGAGTGTAACCCCATCTAACACAGGCTGTAACCCTATGCCCTGTTCGGCTTTACGACTGACCAGTAGGACCTCTGTCTTGTCTGGATTCAATTTCAATTTGTTAGCTCTCATCCAGTCCGACACTGCAGCCAAGCACTGGTTCAAGGTCTGGACAGCCCCCTTGGTGACAGATGGGAAGGAGTGACAGATTTGGACATCATCTGCATAGAGATAACATCTCATTCCGAAACTCCGAATGATCTCCCCCAGCGGCTTCATATAGATGTTAAATAACATCGGGGACAGAATTGAACCCTGTGGGACTCCACACAGCAACGGTTGTGGTGCCGGACAGGTGTCACCCAATAACACCTTCTGGGACCGTCCCTCAATGACATACAATATACAGCAAGGGAAAGGCCTTCCCCTTTTCATCTCCGGCATCTAGAGGTGATGCTCAACTCCAGCCATGGGGAGGTGCTCTTGTTCCATTTTTACATTTTTAATTACTTCACAAAATTGTCCACCCAAGTCTTCACAAACTTGGAAGAAGTACTAGTGGTTTACTGTGTCAAAAGCTTTGTAAACATCCAATTTACAAAGGTTATTAGGAGTCTCAAACCAAATCATTCCCCTGATGCAGACAGATTTACCTCTAATTTCTATAAAATATTTCAATCTGAAAGTATAACTAATCTATCAAAGGTATTCAATGAAATATTGACAAATAGAACCATCACAGAGACATGGAAAGGGTAAAAAATAATTACAATTTTAAAACCTAATGAGGAGAAGACCAACCTCAACTCATACAGACCAATCACATTATGCAACGTAGATTATCAAATGTTTACAAAAATTCTACGAATAGACTTCAAGATATAATCAGAACGTTAATAGGAGAGGACCAATATGGTTTTATTTAAAATAAGAGGTTAGCAGATCCAATACGGAATATAATAAATGTAATAAGTCATGCTACGAAAGAAAAAGACAAATATACGATCTTGAAGCAAAGTGTGTTGACAAAAAGTTTCTACAGGGTTAGCAACACATGCACCTCCTCTTGGTTGGTGTCCATTTCTTTATGTTTCCCTCCTCTTACTAAAGGGTTTTAATATCAGAATGTTGGAATTAAAATTTCCTACTTAAAGCGCTTAACTACCATTCAGCATCATTAGCAGCAGCAACAACAATCTTGGTATGCCAGATTCCTACTGAGGAATCTGGCATACCAAATCCCACCAAAAAGACCCCCTTTGAACAGCTACTGTGCAGTGTTGTGTGCAATGATCTCTTTTAAGACTCGCAAAGTAAGCTTTTTTTTTGGGGGGGGGGGGATCTTACAGAGACTCGGTTGGGGAGAATCATGTGACTAAGAGACAGATGGCAATCAAGGGGAGGATTATCTGACAGCAGGTTCTCCCTTTCAGTCTCTCTGTGTATGCATTGCCCTGCCATCGCCTCCGGCTGCACCGAGAAAAAACAAAAACAAATTTAACTGTGGCTGCTTTGGAAAGATTTAGGAAAATATCCAGAATGCTGTTTAGCAAACAAGAATGCTGTCCATTTTCCTCCATCATCCTCCCTCAAGGGTGATATTCGCCAAAAGGACATCCTTGCAACAAAATTCATAATTTGGAAATAATGCATTACAAAAATGCAGACAAATGTGGGTCAAGAGCCATATGGCATGTTGGAGGAAAATTTGGAGAGTGCCTTGGACCACAAGAAGATCAAACCATTCCATACTTCGGGAAATAATGCCCGGCTGCTCACTGCAGTGAAGGATATTAGAGGCAAAAATGAAGTACTTTGGCCACATAATGAGAAGACAAGAAAGCTTGGAGAAGACAATGACG